GTAAATAGGTAACGGTCTAGAAAGAATTTAATTTGCTTACTAAAAATCTTAAATCAAGAGTTCCTCTGATTCATATCAAAATTCGAAGTCCATGCAAAACTTTTGTTGCACCAACAAATTTTGGATGTAATGTTTTTGTTGGCTTTTATCTGTTGTTATTTAAGGTTGTCGCCTTACATTGTTATATGTCACACGTAATTTGTTCTTTGAAATATGTCATGCACTTTACTTGTCACCTCATTGCATTCTTATGATTTAAATGAAATCATATTGTTTTAATTCATTTCTCTGTTACACTTGCAGTGATGTACTTATTAATTTATGCTAATAGTAATTGAATACAACGGACTTCTGATACTAACGCAACTGCAAATCGTATTTCTGAATAATTTTTTTTCTACCTTTTGATCTCATTTTTACAACAAATCAATCTGATAATTGGTAATTAGTATAAAAATGAGATGAAAAAGACTTCAATGTAGAATAGTACGTTTGTCAAACGATTTTATCGAGTAGAAAAAAAACTACAACCTATTGTTCTCTTCATTGAACTGTTAAAGTTTGATAAGTGATAAGTATTGTCACAACCGGAGACAATTAATCTAGCGCACTGGCATCACATAATTTAACAGTCGAAGTGAGGAAATTAGACGAATGCATAACCTTGAAGATTATAGCGAACAAAGATTAATTTTTTTTTCTGAATAAAATCACCGTGTTTGTATAAAGATGCCGCTCAGTTAATGATGATTTTAGCCTACTATTAATTAGAAAAACCAATGACAGACACTCAATCACTGTCTTGTGTAGTGAACTTATCATTTCTGTTAATCTCATAAAGATAAATTGAGGAAGTGACTGATAGTAAAAAAGTAAAATGAGCCACGTTGAACAATAGCAAGAACAATCATAAATGTTTATTGAGTAATTTTAGCAACTGTGGATATTTCATTTAAAAGTATATGATTATGGTAGCATGATCAGGCTTGTTTCGTTATACAGACTTTTTAAAATTCTCGAAAAGAGAAATTTTGCCAGTTTCTTTTAATTCGTCTTTGCAAAATTATTGTAGGAAAGTGGGAAGTTTTTGAAATTCATAGAAGATCAAGGTTACCTTTCAGGCAATATGATCTACCGTACTACAATACTGTAGTAACCAGTACACTCTAGAGGGAAAACAAAATGAAGCTGAAATCCATTTCATTCTTTGTGCTCTATACAAGAAATGTTCATCTAATAAATCGGATTTCATATTTCTTGTCCAAAGTCTCATCTGCTGGAGATATGGTAGCATTTAAGTCTCAACACATGTTGTATAATTGATGAACTCAAAAAAGTTGCAAATACAAATTCATGGAACTGATCAGCTGATCGATTTATCCTATTTAGCCATGTTTGGGAACTGTAATATGCTAATTTATGAGATCTCCAAAAGTACTGAGGCTCATTAGTATATAAAGTAGATGCTGGCTTGCAATATTTTATTCAAACAATTTTAGAAGTTACGTCGTTAATGATATAATTTGCACTGTTGAAAAGAATGGCTGGAAGCGGTCGGCTAACAAGGTTGTACTGGAAGGAGCGTTATCGATTGCAGGTATAAACAGAAATATATTTTAACTTTAAACTTCTTAATGAATTTCCTTTTGAAAAAAAACAATACCAGAAAGGAGTCCTTTTTCTAGTAACAACATCTTCCATAGTTTGGTCTGGATATTTGAAACTATCGCTGTGGTACTTTAGCTAATTGCTTAACAGGATCTCAGGAGTAATTTTTTATTTAAAGAGTAAAGTTATTGAAAAAGTTATAAATAGAGATGACGGAAGCACCCATAACGTGCCTGTGGAAAGCAGTAAAGTAGACTTTCAAAAATCAATTAATGTATGTTTCAATCATTTCAACGATCCATTTCAGTATTACAAAATATTGATTAATACGCTGAAACATTTCCAAGAACAGTCGTGTTCCTTGGATGTTTCCTTTTAATGAGTGATACACACAGAGATCGGGAGAATACAACAATCAGTCTGTTTGAGCTTTACCACTTCTTAACATTTAATTTTCGTAAAGTAAGTGGGTTCAAAGAGGAAAAAGTTCGGAATGAGAACGGACGACAAACGCAAGGAAAGGGAATGCAGTCCAGTGAAATTATTCATCTATAAAATCATTGACACTGAATTTCAAAAACAGAAAATAGAGCTGTAATGGCGCGTGGCGCGACATCATGGATATCAACCATTGACATAGCTTCACACTTAATTTGATTGATTCAGCAATAATTCTCAAGAAAGTCTTAGTGTTAGTATTCTCACGTGATTGCGTAATCCCGCTTTTCTGTTCTGTTGGTGCAGCAATCGATTTCTTAAAAAAAATAAGAAACTTATACAAATGAAATTATCTCATCTCATAGATATCATTGTTGTTGAATCTTGCTTACCAAGCTTTAAGGTTAATATCAGTCGAGTTATATCAGGGAGATCATAAATGTCTTGCGTTTACTTATAGTGAATTATACTGTCTGGGAAAAGAAGTGATCCTGTAAAATCCAAGACAGAAACAAAACAGTTCTCTCGGGTAGAAATCACACTCAGTTCATTGAGTTCGCAACAACTGCAAATATTATTATTATTGATGCGAAACAATTATTCTTGTTTAGCCCAACGAGATATGACCAGCGACATTTGCGTGGCTTTTAGCATGAGGTCATTTCTGTACAATTATACTTGATGAAACTTTTATTAGATTATGTTCCATCGATGGACTTTTGGTGGGCAGATTACTGCATCCAAAATTTTGTGAATACATTTGAGGAAGGTATGAAATTTCATTTTTAAATGTGGAAAGTGAAGTTGTTGAAATACTCTAATTATCGTACAACCTTCTCTGTCATCTGGTACGCCGACAGGAGAAAAAGCCATCTCTGCCGTCATTCTTTTTCTCAAATAATCATTGCAATTAGTCTTGCATCAGTGATCAAAACAGACGAGAGAGGAGGGAAGGTGAAGAAAAAGAAGAACGATGTGCGGAAATGTCCTTCAACTTTTGCAAACGTGAAACTGAAAAGAAATCATTCTTTTGTCTTTTCCAATTTATTAATATGCTTTCCGAAGTTTTCAATTGTCTCGATAACTGTTTGTAGTCTGATGAATCGGAAAACCTGTTTAAGTTTGAGACCACTCTCTGGTTTCTATCAATTCTTTAAATTTTCCAAGTATAATTCGTTATTCCGTTAACATGACTGAATGAACCACATTCGAGTAAGTGTGCTTTACAAAAAAGGGAAAAAAACACGAAAAAAAAAATGGAAATAAAAATCCTCTTTCGTTTCGTCATTCTGGTGTCATAATTTTATTTATTATTTAAAACTAATTGCTATCCAAAGTATATGACCAGTTTAGTTGAGCTGTAAAATTATAATATGCGGAATCACTGATGCAAAGTGAGAATACCAACTGGATGGGTAGAAAAGAATTTTCGGCGTAGTTGTCGGTACTCTTCCATTACTTCCGGTATCTTATTTTGCTGCCAAATTCGACCTCTAATTGGTTTGTTAACCCTAGCGCTAACTTTCGCAAATATTCACATGAAATTGAAATTTAGTCAACAATGTTGAAGGTGTTACAAGAGAAATCTAATTTGAAAGTTAAATTCAAATCAGCAAATTTTCTTTTAAATCAATTACCAGTTTTAAAAGATTTAAAAGAAAAAGGGAAAACTGTTCTCCTCGTCTCTACCATCACTTTGTTTATAAATCTCTTGATTTTCCAATTATTGGTATGATAATTGATAGAAGCAGCAAATGATCATAACGAAGAAATTTGCGAACCGGATAAATTTCAGTAAAATGAGGATAGAATTAAAGATAGAAAAGAAATAGCAGGACCAGATCTGCATGCAACAAGGATCAAGAATCAAAACTACATTGCAGCATCACATCACTATTTTATCATCATAACCTTTCCAATGCAAGCTGAGTTAGAATAAGCTTCTAGTTCTGAAGCAACTTTGCACTTGTTACATCTGCATTCACCCTGTCATATATGTCATAATAGCGCTCTTCTTTTCAATTTCAAAATATTTACAAAGTTTGACTTTTCATCTTTATCATGAGTTCATATTTCAGGCCATCAATAAAATCAATTAATCATATCAACATTGTATTGAGAACATTTACCAACTATTAAATAGTAAGTACTCCTTGCTTCACTTCAATTTTTTCGTTGAAAAGGTTTTCATCACATTGCTAACTAAACTCTTCTTACTCCTTTAATTAAAGACTGTTTGTTTTGTTTGCAAAATTAGTTTTTTCCAAGATAACAAATAGTAATTCATTCATTCATTCGGGAGCAGAAACCATCAATCAACAGACGATATTTTTCGTTCAGGGTACGGTACATGTACTCCTCACTTTGTGTAATTTAAAAGTGACCTTTCGATATTATCACCTTCATTAGTAGGTGGTAAGAATTGGTTGAAGGTTACGCTTAAATTGGCCAAATGAATAACTGTCTTCACGTGATATATAACATTTCTTTACACATGAAACTAAATATTCATGAGTAATCAGGAGCGAAATGCAAATATTAAACAACTCTCATATCACTCACTTCTTAACTTTAACTTGTTAATTACCATGTTTTTACCATCATGCTATGTGTATTGTTCCAATTACAGAATAGCTCAAATGCATATTTGAAAAGATCTGAAGATGTTCAAAAGAGCATCGAAACAATAAAGCTTTCGGTCATGATTTCCTTAAGTCATACCTTCTCGTTTTAGTCTCACTAGTTCTCCAATTCTTCCATGTAATAAATCGTTTCAAATTCCATTATGTAGCGCATGCATATAAAAAACTTGCATATTGTGGTGCATGATGCGTCCACTAGAAACTTAACTTTTAAAAACTTAACTTTTAAATTCCACTTTTTTAAAGCTTTCTGACAAAATTGTCGGAGTTGAGCATAAGACCACAATAACTATCTTCATACATTTTTAGCTGTAATATCTGGCGAATAGTAATATCACTGTTTCAAGAATTTTAACGGAATCTTCCATCTCTCCCTTAGAATAGAGAATGTAAAACGGAAGATTACTTAGACATTTTCCTAGGCCTCACAAATCATTTAAGCATTAAATAGTTGTGGAAAATATTCTGATCACTGTTACAACTTTCCGTATCACAACTATCGACCTTTAAGAACTCTCGACCTGGAGCTCAATGCCTTTGAGGACCAAAAACATAACCAGGTACTGCAGGTCTTTGCCATACGTAAGCTGTTGGTACTTCTGGTGGAGGTGGCGGATATGGGTAAGGCAATATATATGATATTGATGGTGGAAGTGGTGGACGTGAAGGAGGAGGCGGAGGTGGCGGTGGCGGAGGTAGCGGAGGTGGCGGAGGTGGGCAGCATGGACAATAACACACGGACAGTAAAAAAGGCCTAAAAATAATTCAATTTTGAATATAGCATTGAGCGCTGAAACATTTATGTGAATCAAATTCTGCTTAATAGTTGTAAGATAAAAAAAGACCTATTATCTATCCTTTTAGCTAGCATAGACTATATATGCTATAAAATGAATAAAGATGCAAAGACATTTATGTGAGGAATAAATAAAGTGTCGATAGGCCTTCAATTTCTCAAGTAAATAAATTGACTGAAATGTCAAATTTTTTAAGGGAATAGTTCCTCTTGCAAATAATTTAATGGCTCAGCTATAACTTCTGTGGATTTCGATAAACTTATCGAAAATCAAAACTTTAAGATTTGGGGTGTACAGCCATTGAAATTGAGGATTCAATATAGTCCAGAACGATAGATTTAAGGATGAACATTCAATATAGTCCGGAAAAACTAGCTTGAGACTATATGCTGGGAATCCTAAAAGAATGCACTTACACGCAACAGAAGCAACTGTCGGTTGGTAGTATGACAAATGAAAGCAGAACCAAGCAGAAATATGCAAATCGCATGGCCTTGAAATTCGATGTTGTTCCTGTTACTTTCACTAATTTACATCAAATTTCAATAAAAGAATTCGATGTATAAAGAGTACCGGACATGGGACGCTTTTATAGTACTTCGATGAAATTTAAGAGGAAAAAAATCGAAGGTAATTGCAGATCAAAAACTAACTGCACAAATACGGCACTCCCCAATCATCAACGAAGTCAAAAAAAAAATACTGCTTCTGTTTTTTTCAGTGATTTTCTCTACAAATTATATTACATTTTATACTCTATTATTTACAGTTACGTAATAGATGAAAGATAATGAGACTTATTGATTACCATTCTTTTCATGAATAGATAGTTTGCATAGAAATCTGGGATTTATATCCTCCAGGAAATCACCAATATAAGAGAAGTTTGTTCAAAGTATCACGAAAAAAAACGAAGCTATCAAGGCCGAAGAATATACTGTTGAAAAATGATGGCTCGAGAAAATTTCAAGGTTATCGCCTTTCTTCTAGATATAATTACGGTTCACTTTGAACAAATTTCTCTTTATAATAGAAAAAAATCACTCTCAAAAACAATATAGAAAAACCACTCTCAACTCAACTTATCTTTGATTTGTGAAGTATCCATAAGAAACAAGTTAAAGTTATATGGGCATAACTAAAACTGACTTTTGTTCTACTGTTTCCAATTCATCTCTTCCATCCATCTAATCCTTTCACTTTCTTTGGCCTATCTTCTCAAGTCTTACTCCATATAAGCATACAAGATAACATGACAATTTGCATAACTGTGTTGAAAGTCAAATTAAAAGACCAGTTTTGTATGGATCACTGTAATATTCCACTTATGACATTACTCTTGGCATGCAACAGGTGTCGTTCCAGTTTGATCCCATTATGAACGAACGAAAAGATATAGTAGGTATTTGAGATAGAAATATACAAGTTGTTGTGTATGCTTAGGTTACGTAATGCCAGCTATGGCGTACGCTTGGATTATGTAATACGAACTTATTTCGATTCAGTTATTTCAACTTATGCGTATCACGAATTCAAGAATCCTATGGAATCCTATAGAAGTGATTCAATTTCTGTTCTTTGTATACTGTAACTGAGAGAAATTTATTTATTTTTACATTGAGTGGGTTACTCCAAATTCGAGTACAATGGCAAAAGGTCAGATGCAGAAGTACTGTAACCTACGTTTCGAGATTTTGCCAGTCCACCTCTTTATCATTTGATTCATAAAATATTATTATTAGACCTTGGTTTAACTCGGTATACAACGACAGTCTTGCGGCAGCAGTTGTAACAATTTTTCCGGAATCACAAGGATTGGTTTTACTAATTGGTGTAGTGTACTTTTCAATTTACCTCTTGAATATTCGAGATCAGATACAAATATCGAGACTTCTGCTCAACTCTTTCAGAAGACCACTTCTTTCATCCAAACTGGAGCAGAAGACGGGAAATGAATATTAGGGTCATCCATCCATCAGTAACTGTGTGCATGGATGTTTGCACGTGATAAATCTGCTTCGAAGGATTTACTGTAGAGAGAGAAAGTCCTAACTAAGACTTCCAGTAATCTACTCAAGACCTGTGAAACTTCACTCCCATGGTATCCCTCCCACTCTCGCACTGTTCTTAAAGGTCACTGTCCTGCTCCAATTGTTTTTTCGCTACTCGAGCTTAAACCAATTGCGCGCACATTTCCGAGTTGACAACGTTGACAAATTTCAATTATTTGCATTTTGTTTCAGTTTGAGGTTACGTGGTGATACTGTGGTTGCATTATGGCTTGCATAAAAATAAGTTGTCATAATTGCAGTGTGTTATTAGTGTGATCGTGGCTGTATTGGTCGTATAACAGATTCGTTATCTGTGTTTAAAACAGAACACAGGAAGTACCACAAGTAGAAGACTACAACGACGTGTCTTTGTTTTATATCAGTAACGTATTACTTGTTAGGGTTGACCTTCTATGCTGTCGCTTGAATCCGAGTAATGAGTAATGATTTTAAGCAAGTCACGAGCAAAAAATAGTATTGCGATAGCAGCATTTCGAATTTCATTTCAAGCTGAATGAGTTCATTTTTGTTTGCTTGATATAAGAAAGACTTATCTGTGCGGCATTACAGAGATAGCGACTATGAAATACGTAAATCCTGACGTGTTTGACTTCATCCATTGTTTTTCTAATCGTGTACCTCTTTCCGTTTCTAACTCCACTTAAAACTTTAACTAACATTTTCTTCATTTATGCTTTTCTTTCCAGATGTCAACTTCAGATTTACGAGAGCGTCTTCGTAAATTAGCGGAGCGTACTGCTAGAGAATTACAAGCCTCTCAAAAAAAGAAAGAACAAGGCGATCAAAGTGCGCAGAGTACGTTTTTGTTTATTCCATTTCCAAATTTTAGATATATCAGTCGGAGTAAACATATTACAGCACATCACAATACAGATCTTATTAACAGCAAGCGAACTTAGGTAAGAAGAAACTTGCTGTCTCTTGGAAAAAGTTGCTGTGAAAGTTATTTGCTTGGAGATGGCTGTTATGAAAATTACTTATTTATATCGATAACAAACAAATTGACTGATATAATATTACCAGGACCTTTTTCTTTCTTAGATGATTATGAATAACGTAATTTCATCCATTTCTACATGAAGTTATTTGTAAGAACGAAATGATGTATTTATAGGTGATGGCGATAAAGAAAATAGTATACTCACAGCGCCAACAAATACGCGCATGACTCGTACAGCTCCGACCAAACTGCTAAAAAATACTGATATGGTCAAGACGCCATCTATTCCAGAACTTGCAATACAAGATTCATCACAGAAACCGAATGTCAGTATAGTACCTTGTACTTCTACCGTCAGCAGTGCAAAAACCGGGACTTCTTCTGGCATGCCTATAGAATCCGTTATTACAGCACCGAAATGTGTGTTTACTTTTTTTGCTTAATCCCTTTCCTACTTGCTTATTTTCCAGTTCTTATGCAAAAAATTTTCATATTTGCAACATAGAATGAATTTTCGATGGTGTATTTAAATAAATGTGATTTGCTTTTGTTAACTGAAAACTAAGAAATATTTTTAAAAAAAAGATGTGATATCTTTGAATTTGATTAAATGGCTTTTTGAGCAAAATTTATGTGCATTAATTTTAAACGGAGCTAGTGTTCAACTGTTAACATAACTTCATTCAAAAACATAACTATTTGTAGCTCCGGACCAAATCGAGGAAGCTTATAATCCTGTTATCAGGAGTAACAGGTCAGTCAGTAGATCAGCTGAGAAGGACAAGAAAAAACGAACTGCTAGTGCCCATGTTGTAAGGAACATATCTTCTAGTCAGAAACTTCTAAATATTTTCTAGATATTTATCATTTAAAAAAAATAAAACGTAAAAAAAATGTAAATATAAATATGTATTTTAAATATAAATGTGAAATATAAATAAAATATAAACACATCAAATATAAATAAATATAAATATAAATATATTTTTTCTGAACATTTTAAGAGCTTCTAAAAAAGAAAAAAATTTCCAAATATTTAAAGACTTTTAAATTATAGAATAAATAGTTGAAAAAATTCAAATTCTTCGATAAAAATGCTGAGAACAGTTTGAAGAAGGCCTTATTTAAGGAGCAATCAGCGGGTCCGAATGGAGATGGTGTTGCAACGTCGGCAGTCCACGCATTACGTCGTTCAGAATCTGCTTCCAGTTCTCGTTCTAATCGTTGTATTTGTGTAAACAGTCATTCATACGTTGTGATCGATTTGTTGGGTAAAGGCGGCTCCAGTAAAGTTAGACTTTTCTTGCAATATATTCAAACACTTCAATTTTTCATGAGCACTTTTGATCTGAACTTATTCGGAATAGACATATCTGATTTATCTTAATAATTATGATTGTGCTTCAGAAACATTTGTTGTCTCGGTTCTTTTGTTTTAATTAAGAGAGTAAACTGTTTTGTTTATTTAAGGTTTATCAAGTATTAGATGAGAGGCAGAAGAAATTGCGTGCAGTGAAATGTGTTGATTTATCGGAAGCTGATTATTCCTGCCGCAGTGCCTATTTAAACGAAATCAAACTCCTTCTTAGTTTGAAGGACACAGGATGTGTTGTGGAGATGTTTGACTAGTATGTAATTTTAATAGTGCTAGTTAAAAGTATTAGATAAAAAGGTACGAACTAGTAAGTAGAAACAAATCATATGATCTTAAAATTTTTAGTAGACATCACTGGAGTTAATTTTTTAGTGAACTTCATGGTGATTTCTTGTATGTAGTGATGGAAAAAGGTGACACCGACTTGGCGACTTTTCTGAAAACTCGGAGAAATCAAATTGATGATATATTTATCAGATTTTATTGGAGTGAAATGTTAAAATGTGTGCATACTATTCATGAAAAAGGTGAGCAAGAGTTCATGTTGTTTCTTCTTTTTCCTTGTCGAAGCGGGCAATTTTTTTTTCTAATTTCCAGGTATTGTTCATTCTGATTTGAAACCGGCAAACTTTCTTCTTGTCGGCGGAAATCTCAAATTGATCGATTTCGGAATTGCGTCAGCAATACCAACAAATAAGACATCAGTCATGAAAGATACACAAATGGGAACGCTGTCTTATATGCCGCCAGAAGCTATTGTAGGTTCAAATGCTTCAGTACATGATGGAAAAGAAATATACAAGGTAATACGAATTCATAAAGATAGAAACGATTGTTATGAAATAGAAAGCGAATTATAAGAGGGAGCAGGGGAGAGAGCGTTCTCCGGAAATAAGTGACGAGCATCCTTTGTTTATAAAGACATCTCGAGATTTAGAAACTTATTTCAAAATTTTACAAAGGTGTTTTAGGTTCGTAAGAAATGTGATGTGTGGGCTTTGGGTTGTATATTGTATAATATGGTTTATGGACACACGCCATATCAAATGTGGACAAACCCAATTCAAAAGATGCATGCTATTTTGAATAAACCAATAATTTTTGAGAAAATCGAAGATGCTGATTTAATGGATGTTTTGAAAGTAAGTATTCTTAATTCTTGCATTCTTGCACAGGTTTTTATCTATTCGCCTGTTCATCGTATTTCAGTTTTGCTACTTTATAGTGTCTTTTTAGCGATGCTTAACAAGAGATCCGGACCAACGATCCACCGTTGAGGAGTTGCAGAAACACCCATATTTGACGAGTAATTTTCTTATTTAATCACTCTTTATTAAATTATATCTCGAATTCTTGTTTTGTTCTCTGTAAAAATCGAGTAAAGCATAAAAAGGGTTTTGACTTATCCACGTTTGGTTAGACAAAAGGTCCTTAGGTATTAAATTTCAAGACAACTACTTTAACGTTGGTTGAAGGCAAAGTTCGTAAATGTATGGATGAATCAATATTACCGCAAGATGACAACGATTTAATGAAAGTAGCTGAAGATTTACGAAATTGTACACCGCGAACTTCAGCTCGAAAACTCCGTGATCTCATGCAACGACGAGGTCCAAAAACCACGAGAAAAGACCTAGTGACAAGCAAATTCACTTGAAGTTGAAATTCTTGCCTATCTTTCCTGTATATTTCAGTATTGTGTTAGGAGTGGAAACTAAGTTTTTTAACTATATGAAAATAAGACTGATGTAATGAGTAGAGGTTATTACTACATTTTGTGAATAAACGTTAAATCCATGGAATTTGGACTGTTGAAAATATATAAGAATGCAACGTATTGATACAAATACTCATTTGATTTCATATTAATGGGTTTAACTTTTGTTTAACTTTCTCAATTCGGTTTAGTTTCTGAAGATATTTTCTTCTATATTTACTTATCTGTGATAAAAATTTAAATATTAAGTGAAATGTGGTGTTGATGAAAAATACTTTGAGTGGTTGTTCTTAACCAGATGTCATGGCAGTTTGTTCTCTGAGGAATTGTCGCTCTGAGGAGCTTTTTTTGATGTTCATTTGTAATAATATCATTAGCACAGATTTGCTTTGTACAAATTCTTTGTCTTTTGCTATACATCTTTCCTGTTCTATAATTTTCAACGGTGTTCGTCACGCTATTCAATTTTCTTGAAAGCTTTCATTAAAAATTCTCTTCTTGTTCTTTGCCGAGAAATAATTGAAATATTTATTTCAGACTAGTTACTGATGAATACCTTGTTGATGTATTCCGATCACTTATATAGTAAAGCTATTACTTTATGACACATTTTTCATTCGTATACTGTTACTTGAACCTTTATAAAATATCAGGTTCACCACATGGACCACGTATATTTTGAAAAACATTATCGTGCAACTTATTGATTGCGCATTATTTTATCCTAGAAAAGAGTGATATTAACGTAACGAACTGTAACGAATTCAGTAAGGATTAAGCCATATATGTGTGGAAAAACAGCGTGTTGGTATTGGAATGTCATTCCTTTTCCCTCTTCTATGATTTCATTTCATCACAGATTCATCAGCTCGTTTCCATGTTCAAAAAATAGGTAAAACGGATGGAGTTCCCGATGCATCTCTGTTTTTACCCTCTTTTTTTTTCTTAGGATAGTGTCCAAAGAACGAGTTATGTAGTCTATAAATTGCATTATAATAAGTTGGAAATAGGAGAATGTTATAGATGGAATAACTTCGTGGTACCTTTACATCGACCAATTTCCTCGATCACTTGAGAATAAGAAAGAAAACGGAAATGAATATCTTGGATATCTCATTGATTCCCATACATTTGAAACACGAATCAAAAACGGTAACAGGCTGATACGGATATGAAGATACACATGTGTCCCATTCCTACAAATAATGCTTTTTCGTTGGGGGTCAAGGTTCAAAGTTCTGTAGATTAAGAGGACCTCTTGCAGTTTTGTGCTAAGAGAAGTGTTGAAATTATCCATTTTGGCGGTAACGTAAGATTCACTGTCACTATTGGTCTTAGCATATTGTTATTATACAGTTATTCTTGCATGATAGAGTCAAATGCCATCAAGCGTCAATACCGCAAGCAAGGGACAGCCGGATGAAGCTGGTAAGAAATTTCTTCAAATCTTCTTCTCTGTAACTTCCCTTTGAATTTGGAAAATGTTCAGCAGTAGCTTCCATTAAATTCAACCTTACAGCGGTCGAGATAGTATGCAATTATATGCTGCAGCAAAATCGACCTTATAGTGCTGTTGATGTGTGGAATAATCTCCGACAGGAATATCCCAAAGCTGTTAGTTTGTTCACTTCACGAAATATTGATTGAATTCTTCTGAAATTTTAGAGATTTGTTGTTTGTTAGAAATTTAAAGTTTTGAAAATCTCAGTTCCTCAAATGCTCTATCATATTTATTTAACCGATATGGTTTACTTTATAAATAATAAAGAAAATATTTGATGGTGATGATTAATTTCAGCAGATAATCAAATGCTTGGATATTGGGGTGGAACGAGGAACGCTACGCGAGAAACTTATTTCGAAACAGAAGATCTACTTCATTGATCAGGTCTGCTAACATTTACCTTGAAAATAGTAAAAAATAAAAAAATAAAAAATAAAAATCGAACTAAAAGTTGCTGGAAATCGACCAAGAAAGTTTACTCTAAAGACCTATGATATTTAATTTAACTGAAAATTATTTCCAGAGAAAAACTGAAAAGTGTAGCGAAGAAGAGCTCCAGGTAATGAACGGATCTATTATCGAAAAGAAGAATCGCTTGAATGAACTTAGCAATGCGATAAAGATCGCAAAAAGTGGTAGATTCAAATATCAGAACTCATGTTTAATAGTTGGGTTCTCGTGTTGCTGATTTATTTCAAAAATTATGGTGTGGGACTCAGCATATGCATTTCACATATGGATATGGAATATCGCAGTGTATTTTCGCGAAGATTTTTCATGTTATGCATGATAACCTAGTTTGTTGCAAAGAACCAAAAATTATAAGTGATGATATTTAAAAAGTTTTTTTTCAAGAAAAACTAAACATTTCACTACTGCCTGCACTTTATTTTTTCAAGGTTTTTTTTTTTTCTAGAGTTGAAAGAGTGTAGATGTGCAATGAGCATAGAAGAGATGACTGCATTACAGGCGACTTTGAAAGCACAGGTACCAAACATCTGGTGGTATAATTTGAAAGGATCTATGATGGAAAAATTGAGTGATAGTCTTGACACCTAGTAACGCGGCATGGTCAGAATGACCGCATTCTTCCTTATCTACAAGCCTTTACAGCAGTGGTTTGAATCTGTTAGATTATATATTTCCAGATAAAGGAAATGGAGGAGCGTATCAGCGGCATGGTTACTTATGAAAAGGACGAAATTGTAAATGAGAATAGAAAGTCGGAACTTGTCGCAAAACAAGAATCTTATAGGAGGTGCTGCAAGGGACGGAAGCGAATTGCAGACAGGATTGTTGATGCAGTATGTGAAAATATCAATGCTTCGAAAAAGGAATTAATGGTAAGCTAATTATTCGTCAATTTGGAAGTTTTAATTTTGGAACAAAATGTGTTTGGGACCATATTAATTCTTAATTTCTCCAAATTTTCATGTCAAATTGATAAAAGTGACATTATAACGAAAGATAATTCTGCTCCCAGGCCTTGCTTGTTCCACTTCCAGTATGAGTTGTATATTTGGTGAAATCTAAGTTCTCCTCTCGATGAAAGAATAACTCAGAACGTCTGCAAATTGAGGATGATTACCTTGGAAGAATTTTTCAGGAAGATATGGGTTTCGAACTTGACTGAATACTTACTTCAATTACCTCATGCGTCACTCTTTAAATTATCAAATGCCCAATATTTCTCAATCAATGAATAAATCAGGAAAATTTCACTCTCTGCTGTTCTATGTTTACTGTTTCGGATTTAAATGTTGTTTTGACCGCTCTATTTTCTGTTTTCCGCAGTTTGAATTAAGATCTCAAAAGAACATATAATAAAACTTGCCTTTTGATTGTTAGAAGATGTCCATTTCCTGTTTTTCCATGTTGTACCTTTATTGTTTTCAATGAATCCTTGATACATACTTCTTCATGCTCTTGTAGTTTTTGTTTTCAATTTTTGTATTTTGTGCAATATTTGTAGAATGATTCATTAAACACCACAGCATGAATGAAATGTTTTAGTTAACAAGCTTCAGTATACTGTAGGATCTACCCTCACATTTTATAAAGTAGCTTTTTTTTATTTCTCACTCTTTTTTTAAAATGATTTAGTCCTTAATTTCAGTTTCCTAAATTACGATTTCCATAAGGAATATACTAGCTGCAAGTCTTCTTTATGAGTTTGATTAACCATGAACAAAAATGGTAGCAGTACTCTGGCACTCCTAACTTTACTGAGAGTTTTTCAGCGTTTGTTCTCGAATGATTTTTGTCATTTAAACTGATGTTAAAATGGAAATGGATGAAAATGATATATTAGAGAATCAAACACCGAAGAAAGATAGTGGAACTGCGTCATGGATAGCATCGTTACCGAAGAACAACGTGGGCGATGTGCGCGATATATCCAATCAAGCATTCTGGACCTTATCCAGTTGCAAAACGGGTTTAAATATTCCTTTCCGAACTTAACCTCACACTAGGATTAATCTTGCCTCAACTTGCACGTCTATTACTCTTTTTAGTTAGACGAATTTATGTAGTAACTGAAAAGAAAGCTAAGTTTTTCTGACTTTCCAGAAAATTAGGGAGTAGTGGATAACGATTTTAAACAAAGATTCGATTTTTTGGGAACCAAAACAATTGCTTTCATGTCCAGTTTATATGTTGTTTTCCAGATGGCTTCGGCATCCAGCAACTGTTAGATGATGATTTGGAACAATACTGGCAGTCGGACGGTCCACAACCACATACGGTCACAATTGAGTTTAACAAGAAAACAAATATTTCATACCTGTTATTATATTTGGATTACAAAACCGATGAATCATATACACCGAGCAAGTGAATTTCTTTCCTATCAAATTCATTCTTTCTGAAATTATCAGGAGTACAATCTTTAGGAAGAATAATAGATGAGCGTTCAATAAATTAAAAATTGAGTATCTCGTTCCTAAAAACTACGTCCACAAGATTTTTATTCTATTTTTTACCTAAGATACATTAATTGTAATGATCAATAATTTGATTAGATTGTGAGTCCTTATTTGAATTCTCGGAATTTGTTTGAACCTATGTGAATGTTAGAAATATCGTTCAACATGAAATTTTTGTGGGTATTGTTCAAAATTATGGTGGTTTTAGGTTTAAATATTTATGGTTTTTCAAATCTCAATAATATTTCCTTTTCTTCAGGGTGGTTGTACGTCTTGGTTCATCAGTTCTGGATGTAGATGAAGGTTTAACAGTTGTGTTTTCCGAGCCAGTTGGTTGGCAGGTAAATTTTTTTCATATTTTCCTTTTATAAAAAACAGCATTTGGTTTTGTGATTTAAAAAGTTGCTTTTTGAAAATGTCAGTCGATAACCTTTTCTCTTTTTCAGAATCCTGGCAAGCATTAAGGCTTCGTTTTTTGGCTAAAAAAATTGCTAAAAAAATTAGTAATATAAGATGACCAAGAAAAATTGAATTGCATTTTTTAGGTTATCGACTTACGCGACGCTGATGGAGGCCCATCTCGAGCTTTTATCTTACAGTTGCAAGTTGTACAGAATCACCAGAATGGTCGGGATACTCATATAAGGTATGGTATCACTTTTAAAATTATTGTATTTTGAAATTTGCCAGGGTTTTTATGATTGCAAATAAAGCATTGCATTTGATATGCTTCCTGGTGCAAAATTTATTTACGGTCACTTGAAATTTTTTCATACTGAAAAGTTGTAAGGTATCGTTCCCCAGAAAGGTTGCAGATTCTTCTCTACTGCTTAATACTTTCTTCATTTTTCTGAAATTTGATAAAGTGAAGGGAAAGCAAAATCAATAAATACATTTACAAGGTTTTTTTTAAAAGCTGAATTGTTTTTCTGCATGTTGGTTGTGGAATTTTTTAAAAATATTTTGCTGATGTGATAATCTATTTTGAGGCATACTCCTTGCAATTTTCTGTTTTTGCACATGACTGATTGAATTGTCAGAAAAGTTAATTGAAAAATCGAAAGTTGTTTGTATTTACAGGCAAATGCGAATAATTGGGCCAACTCGAGCACGGCTGGACACTGGTATAAAGACACTGATTAATGCTGGATCAAATATAAGCAATGTTCCATTAAAATTCACTTCTCAGACAATTGCTCAATTTGCCAATATCCGCTGATGGCTTTACTAAAATTTTACTATTGTGAGGGCATGTGAGATCAATATAAGAACCAATATCTAGAAAAATAGGAGGAAAAGACTTAGAGCGCATTATTTTCCAGGAGAAATTATAACTTTGGAGTTTGAACTGAGGCGCGCATCCGTAAGTAACGAAAATTTTTTTTTTTGTTCACGGGATTGGACAATTTTTAAAAGTCAGGTGAGTACATATAAGCTTGGTTTTTCATTCCAAGATTTTCTGGGGATTTCGACTTCCATTCTGTTTTCATTGTTTCTGTTTCAAATCACAAATGTTACAGTTTTCTTGAAATGACTTATGCATACATCTTTTTCTGCTACTGGAACTAGATGATACCAGAAAATAATATCGAGAATGACTATGTTCTACATATTTACATACTAGCGCAGTTGTGTTTGGCTTGGTTTCAGAATTTCTACCTCGATCTGAATTTCAATATTTTAAAGCTAAAGAAAACATTCGTTCACGATTTCTTTCAAACCACGAGAAGAGAAGCAAATTTTAAGGCTAATTCTTTGAATTGGAAAGTATGGAGGGAGAGAGGATAAACAAGTTTGGTGAGAAATGGCGTATTACATTGCCATCTTCGAACGACTTTTGATTCTTCATTTTCTATATACGATCCATCCTCACTTTATTTTCATTTTGTAGTGTTTTGATTGAAATTGTGAAGACTGTTCGCATTACTTCAGACTGTACTATCCCGGTGAAAATATTGCAAAAGTTTTCAGTCGTAATCAAGCATCAAAGCTTGACATCATCCAGTTGGTCTAGAATTGATCCAGTTGATATACCATCTAAACTGAAGTCTACAATGAAAATCAATGAATATATTTTTACACAGCTTCATTCACTAAATTGTACACTGTTATCAGTAAACGAATAGGTATACACAAAAATATTACTAATATTTAAGAGTGTCTTGCACACCGTGGTATGGAAAAGTGTCTCGTATCACATAACAGCTCCGTGGAAGAGGGTGGTGTGGGAAAAATTTGTTGTCATCTGTAATTTGTCTGATTCCATTTGGTCCATCCGATTTCTTATCACTATTCTTTTGACGTTTTCTATCTGCTTTATTCCCCCTATCCAGAAGGAAAAAGAATGCTTTAGGCTTTAAGAATGCTTTAAGAAAAAGAATGCTTTATCCATAATTTATTTTGCAATAAGCACTCGTTCGTCTTTCAATTAGATGATTGCCCTTGGGTAGAGGTAAGTTGAATTTCATAGAGTTGTCTTCGTTCCAATTGTTGAGGTAGTTGCAATAATAGCAGCAGCAGCGGTAGTAGTAGCAGTAGTAGTAATAGTAGCGGCAATGATAAGCGATGGTAGTAATAAAAGTAATAGAAATAGAAGCACAAGTAATGTAATGAGACGATTGAAGACGGGTAAGAGTGAATGCATGAAGGGGTTATTCATCAATACAATGAGGCAATTGACCTCTGAACCGTAGCCAAATAGCAGAAATTATGGCGGTAGTGTAAAATTAACGGACAAGCGGTTTCAGACACACATACATCATACCTCGCAATCCATCCATTTTACTCATCTCGTCAACTACGCTGGTACGAAATGAAATTGGATCAGCAGGATGTTCCGGGCTTTACCACTGAAAATTGTAGATTACAACCTATAGGTGCCGTTATCAAGATGACTCATCGCTTTTATTATAATCATTCATTATTGCTCACTACCTGCATTATCACTATCAACAGCAACAGATGATGTATCCCTTTTGCACACTATCACTTTTAAGCAGCCATACTCTATCTGTATACAGATTCTATTTCTAAATTAGTTACTACACTACTGTATCTTTCTATTCCTGGAATATTACCGGATAACTACCAGTGTTACTGATAGCTCATCTTCAGTTATTTGATAGTATCTGTATTTCTCATTTCCCAGTTCTCTTCGCTATCCAAAGATAACCAACTATTCCTTTGAGATAGAGTCTTCTGCTTCTGTTCCATCATTTCCATATCTTTAAGCATCATTTTTCTGCAAATCTGTTTGTCTTTCATTTATATTTGTCCATTTTTTATTCAGGCGCCAATGATATTTGTTTCGCACGACGTTCCGATTTCTTCCTTCATAAAAGACATGACGTAATTGCGAGTATATGTTACGCAGTAGTTTATCAGCTGGATACGTCATTCATGAAGACTCCTTTAAATATGAATTTGGTCCTTTCAAGTAGGTATAAGTGAATTTGTCTATGATCAAACATTAGTCATTTGTCTGATGCAAACATATTCAGCATTAAGCGGGTCATCAGTGAGGTCAGCGTCAAACGCATCAGATTTGCAGGAAAATTGGCGTAGGTTAAAAAGGTACTGAAATGCATAGATGGAGGTGTGGCGTAAATAAAGCAAATGGAAACGGAAAGGAAGGGATGGGATGGAATAGCGCAAATGATAACATTGACATTTTAGTATTGATGATCGTTGCACTCAGAATTTTTATCGGTATAATGGCTTCTTTCATTAAGCTAACAATGATTTTATGACTCGAAAGACGGAGAAATTTGATTTTAAGAAAGAGAAAAAGATTTTTTTTATTGCTCCAATCGTGACATCGTCGATGACAATTTTGTAATCAGTAATTATTAGGAAGAGATGTTCCAGAAAGCTGAATTTAAAGTTGCAAATTGTACAACTCAATTTCTTTATTTCTTTCTTTATTTCTATGCATAGTTAATATATTACGCTAAATTAAGAGAGTTTCAATGTTATCAATGATTGATGAGATGTAGTCAATCCTTCTGCATAGTACCGATCATAGAAATGCGGAAAAAGATGATTCATTACGACAAGCAGAAGGTCATTGTGCGCAACATATCTGTTATGTATTATATATAATGGATTCCAGGCTATTGCCATTTATAATACTGGTGACAGAAGAAGTGCAATATTCTTCCTTCCTGTCAGCGACATTTTTATTTTTTACTGTAATTTTCTAGTAGTGATGAGATTGTCCAAATTTTGTGAAAGATATTTAGGTAAGTGCAAAAGGGGAATGACCACTGGAAGCGTGTATATTGTCGCCGTGAGTGATACTTCCGATCTTTCTTTTTTTCCTCATTAGAAAAAATAGATCACATATCTGATCTGAATAATTTCGTAGTTAATCTAATTAGGTGAGTCGTCATTGGAAATTTGGAAGCGCAGAAATTGAGAGGAAACTATGCTTTTAGTTAATTGATGATGTAATGTACCTTTGAGTACTGAAAGATAAATAGGAAACTTTTACTGGAGGTAAATTATTGACCATCTTCCTCTCCTTTCTTGCATCACTTTTTCATAATAATCTGAGTAAATAAGGATTTACTAAATAAGTACTAATTAGAAACAAAAATTGCGAAAACAAATTGGTTACTCGAATAAATGTTTTGGAATGTTTCCCTTTTCGTTTTCCGGCAAAATTGGAGGAAACCGAGAATCTTATAGCTTGCTATTGCCTGTTAGGATGGGAAGTTGAATATTTGAGATTTCTGGAATGAAATTCCTTATTATGATATTTCCCTGCTGTTGCTACTATTACTACTGCTGCTGCTGTTGCAGCAATCATTTTGGAGACCCACGAAGTAAGAACCTTGACATTAAGCTTATATAGTTCAGCTGATATATGAAAGCATCTCCGCTGTCTATTTATTCATCCTTTTGTTTTCTGCAATCACAAAACAGCTTCTTTTCAAGTCTGAAATTATATTTTGAATTCCATTTCAGAAACATGTCATCTGTTTAATCTTACAATTCCTCACTTCAAAGTTTAATTTTCTTGATTTCACTTGGAAAGTGAAATCTATTTCAACAAAGAATATCATCTGTCGTTCATTGACTGTATTCATCCAAATTCCTTCATGCTTTTTGTTTGTTTCTTTCCTTTTAAACAATTTTTTTTCTTTTTACTCTCGAAAATTTGAATCGAAAAGGTTTTGATACAGAAAATGTTAGCGGGAAAAATTTTCATTAAAGGAAGGTATGCAGACCATGGGACAATATTGAAAATAATATCATATTATGCCGTCATTATCAGCGAACATTGATTTTTTGATATAATTATCAAATGAACGATAAAAAGCACTTTGATGAGAACACAACTTACTGCCTTCGTTGGTTGCTTTTTTTTGCATTACTTATGTGTTCAAATTGAGTTAATTTATTTTTTTAATTTATTTTTAATTTATTTTTAATTTATTTTTAAGTTAATTTATTTATATTTTATAGACAATACGAAACTTCGAAATTGTAAGAATTGTAAATAGTTACTTAATATGCGAGGATTTTATTGTACAGTTGGGATACGGCAAATTGTGCCCTTGCTGTATGAAACATTAGATTTACAGATTTCGCGGATCATATTTCTAGAAGACAAATATTGTTCTCAATCAGCATTTGTCCATTTTATTCCATCTTTCATTTCCTCTTTTCTTATAACAGTTTGAATAAATCAATCATATTTGTTTAATGATCAAAAATCATTCACATCCCTTTTTTTATCGAATTACTTCGTTGACGATATTCTTCCGCATATTTGATTTAGCATTTTGGAAATAATTGTTAATCTGATTAGAGGACATTCATATCTGACCAGTTGACCGTGACTGATCGAGAAAGAATTCTTGAGTCGTCATATGCCAAAGTTTTATGGATCTATCATAGATATTTAAATTTAAATTGCATTCCAAAAATTTCATTTGGGCGGGAAAAAATTTGTAATTACTTACAATTTTCTGAAGAAATCTTATCAATTTATGGTCGATAATGTCGAAAAAATTGTGTTAACTTCAGCAACATGACCTTTGAACATTCCTATAGTGACATTTTTTGCAACCCTTTTGAAACTTCATACTTTTGAGGACGACTTTTTGTTTACTCTTTAATTGTCAAAAGGTAGCAGTAAGCAACTTCAACAACTGTTTGCTCACGAAATTTTTCTACAATCCTCCATTTTATGGTATGCTTGAACATTAAATTACTGAATAACTTCATAATTTTAAAAAAGCCACACAATAAATAGGAAGATGGTTCCATGGTGGTACTCCGTTTTAGATTTCAAAGTATTTTATATCATTTTAAACTTATAAAAGAAGTTCCTTAACACCTATCCCAGCGGCAATTCCTACCTAAACAATTCAAAACCTACATACGTCCCTTTTCACTTATGTCTCTGCTATTGTTCCTTCCTTATTTTTGCAAAAGTGACATAAAAGATGGATCAGTTCACGTTTAACAATAATTATTTGACTAATTTTACATGGCAACATCTTTAAGTGAAAAGTATATTATAGTGTATCTGTTCTCTAACTTTATTCTCCCCTCCGGTGGCACACTGGTGGCATTTAAATTTTAGCTAGCAATAAGTAACAATATTTGCATTGGATGATGATAAAGAGCATTTTTCTCTTGCACTAGTGGGTGGAACTTCCTGGTAGTATCTGGAATAGAGTGAAATCACTCTAAAAACTAGGCACTCTAAAAACTCTAAAAATTCCATTTAGAGAGTACTCTAAAAACTCCATAAAATGATTTGTATCCCTAGTGACGAAAATTACCTTTAAATCTTTAATTACATTGCCTTTAGATCTTTAATTACCTTTAAATCTTTAATTACTTTAATTTCGATTCCGATTGAACTTAGAGATGGATGGTGTTAGAAAATACGTTTTCCCTTTTCCTGCGGTCTTCTCTGCATTAAGCCCGAATATTGAGGCATGATAACAGAAGGAGAAGGGAAGATATTTTAGAAAAGAATCATGTTTGTTTAATAAATTTAAAGTCTTTTTTGATCTCAGAGTAATGACTAAATGAGAACTGATTGGCACTAAGGTCTCCTCTCAAATTTCTTATCATCTTTCTATAAACGTTCCCAAAGTTTTATCATTTTGATGTTCAAAATTGCTTCTCTATTCATCTCTAAAGATATACTCTCTTTACTAAATTTTTGATTATTTATTAAGCCAAATAAGTGAAAATTTTTGAAGAATTAATTTTGATTTTCGTTGAAATCGAATAGCATGGGGCTATTGCATTGCATAATTTATTTACTTTTGGCTATTGCATAATTTATTTCATTACTTTTGGTCAAATGTGCATTAGAATGGATAAAAAGACCATTCACATTTGACAAAAATAGCTCTATTATGAGAGGATATCCGTGCCCAATTCTTCTTTCTATGTTTACTTGCCTAGTTCGTTTACGCTTCACCAGTTCATTCCAAAAACTTTCCTCTTTTATCACCTTCCTGGCAAATTTGACTTCAGCAATATGATGCCATCCATTTCATATCTTATTAATTTAAATCTGATGTATTCTTTAGTTTGCAGACCTCCAAATTTTTCCGTACTTTAAACAGTCTTACATTTACAAATTCAAAAATCAATCAGAAAATATAAACATTGTATACCTTCCAACTGTTGGGAATTCACCGTTTATTTCTTTGAATGAATCATCAAACAAATCCTTTCATATTAATTAACCTTCCAGAAATTTGGCATAATTACTCCCATCAAATCCACCTTTTTAATTTGACACATTATTTATCTTTAATCGGATTGAATGTTACAAAAAGGGATGGAAGAAATAAATGACAAATTGCAGAAACATTTATTTGATACTAAACCGACGGTTCGAAAATTATTAGAAATGCATAAATTTTAAAAACGGAATATGCTTTGCAGGAATTTTAATTTAAGGCTATGTGTTAAATGAAATTCTTGTGATTATTTCGAAAAGCGATGCTGTTTTTGCTCCTTCTGTATTGTACTACCTCATTAACAACACATTCCTTCGGAGCAAGGCTCTTTGGATTCGGTGTTGAACAAGGCGATCAGGTATGTAAAGTTCAACGTAATAAGCTGTTGCAACGAACCTATGAGTATTAGTGTCACCAAGAGAGTGTACCATCATGATGGCACTTCAAGTAGCTATATCGGAAAATTTGAGGCAAATTCGTACAGGGCGTAACATCGATTACTGCATTACCAAGCGATTATTACTGATAATTCCCTCTGTTCTTTTAGCAATAATAATTAACAACCACGTTAATTAATTCATTATTTATATCAGTGCTAAGAAGTTGTCAACCAATAATATCATCCTTACATTTATTTATTGTGGTCACTTTAGTGTGTCACTATCTTTGATTATCATTGACCCTTGTACTTCTTAACGTTTCAGGTGCTATCATTTTCAAATGATTCGTACGCTGTAACATTGGACGTACCAATAATATATTTTGAAGAGAGTCAAAGTGAATTATTCATCTCTTCGAAAGGTATTGTAACATTTGGTAAAGCTGCCGATATTACGGAAATAACGGATTTGGATCAAGGAAAAATCGATGCAATTGCAATATTTTTTGCTCCAATAAGTGCTGGAAAAATTTTTTATCGGTGAGCATTTTTAGTAACATCGAGATTTTTGGAGAGAAGATCCGCTGATTCAGGACCAGAAATTTGATATTACTTATTCAATTAGAAAAATCAAATGGCTTGACTTCTTCCGAAAGCAAATCTGGCTTTTTTGATTTTTGTCCAGTCAAGTAACTTTTTTTCCCATATCAGAGCAACTTCAAGTGATACGGACTTGTTAAACGATTTGACGTATAAAATTCGGAAAAACTTTCCGAATCGGGAATCATCTGATTTCTCAGCTTTGCATGCTGTGGTGATAACATGGAGCGATATAATGGGAGCAGATTCCGAACAAGGCTCAAATCAATTTCAGGTAATTACTTCGATACAAATATTGAAAAAAATCTCCGTTTAATTTTGAAATCAAAGATTTTGGAGATGAAAGCAATATTATCATCCTTCCAAACGCTGTTAAAACTGATTTAAATTTGATTACTCACTAAAATTAAAGTGCTAAGCATTTGAGCAAATAAAAAAGAGATTTAACTAAATGATAGCACCGTTGATAGGGATAATCTTTACAGCAATGTTATTCCATCATCTGTTTGTCGTGTATTTCAGATGGTTTTAGTAACAGATGGAATGAGTTCCTACGTATTTCTCATTTATAATCAAATAACATGGACTGGAAAGAATGGTCAGCATGCGCAAGCTGGTCTGTACTTCTCTGATGGTCGACGTGAAACGATGGTCAATAGTGGAACGCCTAATATCAAGGAACTTGTGAAGTATGTTTTGATTCATTCCAACCTTGAAACTACTGGGACAAAAGTAATTGAAATTGTTTCTGAACTATTGCTGATGTACGAGTAAAAACTTCCGTGTTCCAAATGAAATATTTTGACAGTTTTCTCCTTTTTAACTCAATGAATTTGCTGAACTCTCGAAATCGTTAATTAAATTACTAAATATAATAAGTGGTAGCATATTGTCACGAATACTTGAACTGACAACTTTATTTTTCACTTATTTTTCAAATTATAAATTCCTGATAAATTGTTAACTCCAGTTTAATTTCAGTTTATCAAATAACCAAAACGAAGGTACATACATTTTCCGAATATCAGGTGCTACACCTGAAGATCCACGAGGAACACTTGTTGAGGATGATTATAGTTACAGTGATTATGAGCAGGAGTATGACTCTGACAATGAACATAAACGACAGCACGGTTAGTAGATTTCACTTTTTCACCGAATTTCTTTTACCGACTATCTATCGATTTATAGCGAAATAAGTTACATCTATTCACGTGTTCGTCCCTCCTTTTCCTTAAACTGAATTATTTCCAGTTCCAATGAAACATAAAAAATTTTGTCACACTCAAAATGTGATAAAATTTAGCACTCAATCAATTGAGGAGACTGATAACATTTTGGTATCAATTGAGATGTGTCTCGAGAAATGCTGCTAAACATGAGCACCAAATCCAATTTGAAACTAATGGATAGAAGAGTCAATATCTTTTGCATCGTATATTTTAAGTAGAAAAAAAGCCATGAATGTTAATGGAGCTAAATCTCGGCGTGTTTTTTAAAATTTAATTTCTAGACTTACTATCAGAACATTGTCCAACAGATCCGTATCGTGATCAATGTCCAGTGGAATGTCACGTACTGACCGACGATCACGGATGCTCGCTTTGTGTTTGTGCACGTCTGTTTTTACCCCCTTTCTTAGGATAGTGTCCAAAGAACGAGTTATGTAGTCTATAAATTGCATTATAATAAGTTGGAAATAGGAGAATGTTATAGATGGAATAACTTCGTGGTACCTTTACATCGACCAATTTCCTCGATCACTTGAGAATAAGAAAGAAAGAAAACGGAAATGAAGAAATATCTTGGATACCTCATTGATTCCCATACATTTGAAACACGAATCAAAAACAGAATAATAGAGTAACGATAACAATTTAAATTATGGGTCAGTGTGTCTTCTGACCTTTAGTTTGATGGCAATAGAGTTTCCGGAAGAACATATTTAGTATGACTTCCATGTATCCTCTGTGCTTTGTTTCCTTTGTCATATGCTTAATCACAAATCCCGCCTTTTGCTAACTTCAGATGTCTTTAATCTCCAGTCCTTATTGTTTAGCTGTTTAGCAATTTAACATTCTATTTACATTACATTATTTCTTGACCTTTCAACTTTCCTTTCTATCCATTTCTTCAATTCTTATAACCTTTGTTTTCTACAGTATTTTACTGTTAATGAAACGGATTTTAAAAGTTAGCAGCTAGAGTTTTGGAATATTTGCAAAGGTCCAACACTATTCTTATTAAGATTTGAGATTCAATGTAAGAATTTAACATAGAAATATATCTGTTAGGCGACAAATGAATAAATGTAAGCCTAAGTCTAAGCTCAAATGATTAAGAATAAGCCTTGTACATTGCATACTTTCCAGTTTTGCACCAATTAATAATAAGCTAAGAAGTGATTGCGTCCCATAAAAAAAATTTGCGTCCCAGAAAATAAGCGCCAGATTTCAGAACCACCAGAGCTTAACAAATTGAAGAAGGAAGATGATGAAGTAGGCAAAATTATACTGCCAAGCCAACATCAGGAAATTAATGTAACACCGGAGGGATCTATGCGTAAGTTCTAAATTGCCAAACTTTATATCTTCAGTTATTGAAATAAAGAAAACTTGATCACAATCGAAACGCTGACTTTGATTCGAAATCGAAGTTTGAGTTTGAAATTAAATTTAAAGAACTGTTTATTCAGCGAGAGAAACAATACAAGAACAAAATATAAGGGATAAACAGCCAAAGTCAGATGACGAAGATGAAGGAGGTAATCTCTACTAATAAAGCTGAAAAACTTTTCTGTTGCATTTATTGTAACACACATCAGATCCTACGTCAGACCTATTTATAAGGCTCGTTGGATAGGGCATACAGCTTTTTCAGAATCAAAATTAATTGTTCCAACGGATCCGGAAAATTTGAGGTCAATTCACGACGTTGAAGGCATTGCATTGAGCTGTGTTGCAGCGAGTGAAAAAGTTTGTCTTATAGTATTGCTTAAAATTTTTAAAAATTTCAATATGACACTGCCATTGATAAAATTTGAGTCTGATAATGGGCATACAACTTATTATTGGTTATATGATAGCGATTGGATGGGATAATAAAATGATTAAGATAAGTAGTGATATCATTGCTTATTTTATCAATTAATTCTAACAATAGTACGACAATAAGCGAGGAGAATGTAAATAATTTTAATAAAAAAACAAAAAATTTAAAAAAAATTAATTTAGGTACAACCATGTAGTTTGCACGCTAAGTGCAATGACTACAATCCAGGTTACTGTTGTGAATGCTTGTCGGGATATTACGGTAACGGCGAAGAATGTTTGAAAGATGGTAAGGTTTTATATTATTTCTTGATTACAGTTCCTGAATCATTTTCAGGAATAGGATAGAAACCAGTCCGAAATTTGAACGAGGAATAAATATACTTGAACAATATACGCCATATTATGAGTTTGAGTTAACAGTTACTTGTACAAACAGATTAGAAGAGATCAACAACAATCTATGTTTAAAATATCGCTGATTAATAAGGTTTAACAATAAACTAGACTTTTTAGGGGAACCACAGCGAATCAACGGTGGCTTTGAAGGTGTGATAAATGGTAAGGAAATGGACCGAACTGAGCTACACACGTATGTGATGGTGGAAGAAGGTCGAAGTTATACAGCACTCTCGCAAATACCCCCAGAGCTTGGAAGATCATTACTGTTGCTGAATGCAATTGGTAGTGCTATGGGATGGTTGTTTGCCAAGGTTTATTTAGAAATAGTTGGAAGTTCAAACTATCTTCTGAGATTTAGAAGGAATAAGAGACTAAAAGAGATTGAAATAAAATTTGAATTTGAAAGACACGCAAAATTGCAGATATTGTATAGAGACCATTACAAGATGACGGTATGCTTTAAGATTTCTGCAGTTGAAGTTTCAGAAAAAAGTTAACTCCAACTTAATTTCCAGTAACTTTGTAATATGCTCTGACATCATTTAGTGAAGAATCCATAGTATAACGAAGATAAAGCAAAGAGTGAAATGAAAACATTCTGCTAATCTATCTGTCTGATATACAATACATTAGTTAAAATAGTAGTCATATGTATAAATTTTCAGGTGATGTCACCGACATCTTACAACGGATTTATGCTTACAGGTTTGTTTTCCTTTATTAGCATTTCATTCTTTCTTTTTGCTTTAATTTCAACCTGCAATGTTCATTAAATCTGACCGAGTGGTTAAATTCAGCAAAAAAATAATTAATTATTATAAAAATGATAAATCATTTGGTCAAATTGACTGCTAAATTTCTACAGGAGGACTTTTCAATCGTACAGTGAATGTCCATATTGGAGATCGATATACAGTAACGATCAAGCAGCAGTTTTCTGGCCGTGACATTTATCATTACTTCAAAGCATACGTAAGTGTCACCGATACAGAAATCAACAGTGTTTTAGAAAAACTAGAACATATATTTGTAATTTAGATGTTCATATCAGGGACGTTGCCAGCATTGGTGGAAGATGCAGAAGTAATTTATTCAGATCATGATGAGGAATACAGACGAGAAGGACCTGGTAATAAAATCAATTTGCTTAACATAATTTTCCATTTGAGAAAATTATTGGGATTCGAGATTCTGAAATCTAAAAATATCACTGAGTCAAATAAGCTTGCAGGATTTTTACGATCACACTCATCGCAAATGGTAACGGTTAAGGAAGATGGAGTAGAGACACAAATGAAACTATCGACTGACCAGCAAATACATTACAAAGAATGTCCATTTAGAGAGGTAATTTCAGATTTTTCAAGGCAATTCTGTGTGGACTAAAACTGGAAATCGGAAAGCAAATGAACTACAATTAATACTTCAATATCAAATTATGATTCTGATTATACTTACTGCCTTACTATCCTCATCATAATTACTATAATAACGTATCTGTCTGTTATTGATAAATTTGTTCTTAAGTATTTCATTCATAGTACTTTGATCACTGAAGAGAACTGATAAGAAGAAATTAGTTTGCATATTCTTAGATCATAGTTGATGATAAAGTTACTATTCAACCGACGTCCTTTCATTACCGAAACAGTTATTGTATCTTACTAATTTTAGTAGCATTCCACTTTACAATATTAAAGCTATATATCGGATTCAGCTTGGATAATTCAGATCTTTCCTTTTCCTTTGCAGTTTGCGGAAGACCCAGTAGTAGTAATTCACGTCAGTCGGATTCATGTTGTTTACGACGTTGAAGAGCAGATCGTACGTTATGCATCTGCAAATATGGCAACAAATCGAGATACTAACATCATGGTAGCATCATCTGGTGGTGATGATCATCAATTACTTGACAATAATCAACAGTCAAAACAACAGCAGCAGCAACAGCACTACCGTAACCAAGAATACCAGCTGCAGAAGGAAAATGTGGAGAATCAAAGACCACCATGCACCAATTGTTTACAAGTAATTTATATTTATTCGTCACATTTTTTATTCGCAATATATTATATCTCAGGTAATAATTTTAAATATTGAATGGAATTTGAGAATGCTTGTGAAAGTGGTCGACATTTATGTAAATTGCCGAATATGATTTGTACCCCAGTGGAACGTTCGTACCGTTGTGAATGCGTAAAGGGATATCAAGCGGAGTATGATAACGACACAGAGCTCGGCTGGAAATGTATTGGTCAGTTTCAGTTTAAAATCAAACCACTTTATTTATTTATTTATTTGTTTTATTTTTTTATATTTGATATTTTACTGGATTCATACACAGTTGTTTATTCGTTATGTAAATTTCTGACTTCAATGACCGGAGATATGGTAAAGGCTTCTAATGGCTCTAACTATTCGAGGAACTTCTAAAGTTTCTAAAGGTTTCTAACTTCTGAAGGTTCTAACTTTTCAAAACTGTGAAAGGGACTTGCTAAAAATTTTTTTAAATATGTCTTCTTAAAACTTCTTAAGCTTCTGGCAATTTTGAATTTAAAGTCACTTATTTCACTTTAAAACAATCTGTCTTGTAAAATAGTAGTTCCCAGTCAGTGACTGCGAGGCTATTAAAAATTATGTTCATTCTTTTTATATTGTAATAATGTTACTTTTTATATTATAATGTTCTAACCTTAACTAATACGTCAGAAGTTTTGGTAAAAGTTTATTTTCGAGTTAATAGAATTTATTACTTTTAAACCCTGTGGTGTCTCAGTTACGAATAAAAGGACCAAAATGGTCATTAGCCAAATAAAGATTGGCAACTATTGCTGTAAGCAAAAAAATAGGTATGCTGGAATAGTTTAATGATGATGTATACTATACTGTAGATATGGACGAATGTAAACGAGGAGAACATAAATGTGATCGTAATGCCATCTGCATCAATCTGGAAGGTACATTTGAGTGTCGATGTGCAGATGGATATAAAGGAGATGGACGTCTTTGTAAAAGTAACATTTGAGCTTTCTTCTTTTGTACCTATAATGGTTCCAGTTCTAGTTATGCTAATAGCTATTTTAGTACATACCAAACATTGATCGATAGGTAGGCCTTGCATTTCACATTTTCTTTAATTAGATTTTGTGGAGGGGCAATATTTGTTTGTTTAATGTTTCATAGTCCATCACTATATGATATGATCATATATACTAATTCCATTCATCCAATGATGAGAAATAAAAGTAAATTACTTCATTAAACTCCTATAACTTTAAATTTTTTTCGGTACCAAAAACTTTCTTGTTACTCTTAAGACAGAACATGAGCATTTCATGTTCTTTTTTGTCTGATCTAATTGAATAATTGAAGTTTGGTAAATGACACATATCCAGTTCTTTCCCGACATAGAATGTAAAATGCTTCAATTAATTTCAATAGCCAACTAACAAATTAATGCTTGTTTAATCTTTGGTCTTCTTTTTCGTGATTTCTCCACTTCAACATCTTATGCAACTTTTACGCTTAAATTTTTGTTATTTCCTATATTCCGAAAAATTTCCAGAAGTCGGAGTTGGTGATGAACCTGATGAGAAGCAGCCAGCGACTGGAAGCGGTTGCCTCGATCATCGAGACTGTCATCAATGGGGAGAATGTGTTTTCGGGCAGAATGGAGAACCGGGCTACTGTAAATGTCGTGGCTGGTATACAGGTGACGGTGTGCATCACTGTGGACCACCTACAGGTTTGTTTTAAGCATTGGAATTGCTTATTGGAACGATGGTTCATGATATTATTTACGCACTACAATTATGATAATATTAACTTGAGAAAATACTAGAAAAGGGACAAAAAGACGTGATAACATTTTAGAGACAGAAATCAAAGAGGTAGTAATTGAAGATTCTGGTCAAAAACAGATGGGGCAGATATGCGGAGATTACAAATGTGATGCAAATGCATACTGTGACTCATTGTCAGGACATGTGAGTTTATATAACTATCATTAATCTTTGTCCATTTCCTAGTTAACCTGAAATTCAACCGGAGAACAAAAGCAGAGTACTTACTAATTTCCAGCTCATCTAAGGTACTTTTCAAACTTTACATATTGATAACAGTAATCTACAAGAATATTTCTCAGACATCATGCAATCTTCAGAACCATCATCATCAACTGATTCACTATTTTTCGGTGTCCAGTGACCCGAAGAACGGGCATCTCTTACATCTAATTTAAATTATATTCTTTTCATCGCTTCGCTTCTAGGAGCAGTGTAAGTGTCAGAATGGTTATCATTGGAATGGAATCAGTTGTGTCCCTCATTTTAGTGCCGAACGAAAACCGGACGTTCTTACAGGAGATCTCAGTAATATTAGTGATGGCATCGGTTTGCATTTCTTTAACTCTTTAATTACATTATTTGTTAATAACAACCAAATTTTTTGCATCATTTCAATTAAAATTTTTTTTTCCGGGACTTCAATCTCTATCTTTTCTATGACCGCTTGAGTTGAATTGTACAAAATGGAAATTTTTTATGTGAAGTACTTGATATTATAGTACCTGATACAGTAGACTGATACAGTAGCCATGTGATTTAGCAACAATTGAAAGTGTAACAAATTTTAACTCAATTTTAAATTAATTAAGGCAAGGTTTGTCGTTCACATGATGAATGTGGGGAACACGGTAATTGCGTGTACAACAATGAACTTGGCGCTTATCGGTGTGTTTGCGTGCCACCGTATTTTAGCGATGGAGTGAATTGTGTGGAATCAAAAGGAGATAACAGTAAGAAATAGAAATTTTGCTGGAAAATTTTATAGTCCATTATAAAGAAGGGCTGAGTTCAGATTGAAACCACAAAGCTGAATTAGACATCGTTCGTGTACCCATCATTGACCTTTCGCTTTCAGTAACACAAGACATCACGTAATAGTTTTGAAACAGGTTATTTCATTGATTGAAAAGACTACTGGGTCTATTTTTTCATGTTTTTTTTTTAAATTAAATATCATACTTTCCAATCTTTTTCTCTTGATGATTGTTGATATCTTCCAAAAGATATCAACAGTTTACCTTTTCAAAACTTTTTCTTGCTATCCTGCTTCTTTCTCTTTTTTGCAGATTCTAGCAACGAATTCCTAGAAGAAGTGTCTTGCAATGTGATTAATAACTGTAATACCAATGCTGATTGTATCTTTGAAAAAAATGATCGTGGTGAAAGTGTGTATCGTTGTCGATGTCGTCCAGGATTCTCGGGAGACGGTCATCGGTGTACTATGACCTCGCTGGATAATCTTCCCGCATGTACGCTGCTTAAATTCCTATGCTTCTTCCAATGTTGCATGCAAAATTGACCATTAAGAAAAAAAAGTGCAATGTTAGGTATACGAATTTATTTTCCGAATTACAACCTTTGCTTCACCAGTACATATATGTTTTGGGGAAGCGTGTTGTCTGGACGAACGTATAACTTGATTCGAACCAAGTCCATATATCAGATTATCAATTGAAAGAAAGTGTTTGAAAAACTTATTTGTTCTTATTTTCGACGATCTATCGGCAAATTTGTCAACTTAAAGACATGAACATGTAGTTCATCTTGGGCTAAACTGCTTCAGCTGATATTTCTTAAAAAGCTTCCTGTGCGGCATTGACATTAGGCGGATTTTGCAGATGCTGTACTAGGATGTGATCAGTTGGGTAACTGTGATATGAATGCTGTATGTGTACTTGATGCATATACCAGTCGTCATTACTGCCGATGCTTGGATGGTTTTGATGGTGATGGATACATGTGTGAGATTGTACGACAAAATAGCCTTCTGCCACCTTTGCTTCCCGGTAGCTTCTTCTACACTTTCTTCCATCTTTTTATTGCTTTGCAAACTGCGCCCTCTTGAATGAACATGTCATTCTAATTCTGTAATTATGTCGTCGTATTTTCATCTTATCAAATTCAGGAAATTCCTTCATGTTAATGTTGAAACAGAAATGAATGATCTAGATAAGCATTTTTCTTTCTCTATTTTTCGTACTTCCTTTTCTGCAAATTACTTCTTATCCATAGATGTGCCAAAGAGCAGCACAAAAATAATTGTAATCGGGCAACACTAACAAAGAGCCACATCTATTACCTATTCTGGATCAACAATTATCATCTTTATATGAGAATTATCAGGAAATTTCTCAACAACAAATTGGACTTTCTTACAGAACCAGTAGATGCTAAAATTTGTCGCGAAGCAAGTGACTGTCATCAAAATGCACATTGTGTAGTTCGTGAAAACTCATTGGATTATTTTTGCGAATGTCTGCCTGGCTACCGGGGTGATGGTGTCACGCGATGTACCATTGCAGGTTTGATTGATTTAAAAATTGACGGATAGTGTTCATCTTTAATTCATTTCTCATAGCAGTATCCATTGGGTACATATGCTGACTTTTCAAAAGAGGACCGAAGGAATTGATAAGTTCATATCGAAAAATAAATGTTTACAGGAGTTTCTTAACTGCTAATTATTCCATTACTTTGTTCTTATAACATAGAAAATGATTATTAACTGAGAACCACTTTAAATTAGTAAGATTAAGATTAATCTATGGATTAATTCGTGGATCTCAAGTATTTGCAAGCATAGCACAGCAATTACACATCCTTTTACCAACTCAGCTATTGTCCAAATAATTAATTAATTAATCGAGAGAGTTATCCTTCCTTGTATCATCTCTTGAGGTTACTTTTAGTCGCTGAAGCTAAGTTATAGCTTGCCTTCAACAGAATTTAAAAAAGTTATAGATAAGTGTACACCTGGCGATGAATACGCATGTCAAGAGAATGCTGCTTGTGTTTTTGCAGAAGCTGAGAGAGCGTATATCTGCAAATGTGTGCAAGGTTAGTTTCGTCTGTTTTCCAAATTCATGTAAATTACATTTTTAGTTTTGAAATTCGAGTTTTCACTGACCAGGACGATCTTAAAAATTTGAAGGTTTTGTTGATGATGGACGACAGTGCGTAGCGCAACATCCTGCAGCATGCAATGAACAACCAGGAATTTGTCATCGCAATGCGCAATGTGTTTACAACAGAAATGAGGGACGACACAAGTGTGTTTGCAAACATGGTACCGTTGGCGATGGCTATCAAGATTGCCGTGAAGAAGGTTGTGTTTTAATACATTGATCTGCATTGACCTTGACCCTTTTTGATCAAGAAGGATCAAGATCAATGTCAAATAAACTGAAAAGGGTGTATAACACAGGACAAAACAAGCATCTCGAGGCTAATTAAAGCGCAACATCAGAGCCAAAGTTAGAAGTATTCAGCTGCCCTGAAACTTTGATCTTAGGTGCTATGCGAAGAAGAACTAATTAGTTATCCTTGCTTTGAGATTTACCGAGGAGCGGTTAATATTTTGCTTAATTTTTGGGAGCTATTGTTTAGATTGCAAAGTTTATAGTCTTAATCTGACCATATCCTGTTTCTGGTTTCTTATTTCTAGTTTAGTCCATCATATATCATCGATAGAATCCATCCATCCAGTACTGTGGGTTAATTCAAGCCTATTCTTAACTCTGAGCCAAAGCTATATTTATAGTTTACTAAATGTTTGGTCAGTGTCATTCAGTGTTTTGGAAAAAGTTTAAACCTTCTGAAATTATTTTATTTCACTCATTGTTGTTGTTATTTTAGCTAAATTACACCGTTGTGGTGAATGCTCATCACATGCACGATGTGTACACATTGAAGCGGATGATTCCTGGAGATGTCGTTGCATGCAAGGATATATAGGCAACGGACATTTGTGCACATTATATAGTTTGTTATTAACCCTTGCACTTTCGTTAATTTCGCACTTTTGCACTTGCTGTTGCACCGTAATGTTACCTTTTGCTAGCACAGGTAGACAAATGGACTGGTGAGCTGCAAATAAGGTAACAAAAATTTTTCCTATATCCATTCGATTGAGTACCGCTAGTAGTATTAGTGCCAAGAAAAAATCCAGTTGTCTTCGAGCACGAGAGGTGGTTGACAATGAAGCTAGTATGACACTGCGCAAACGTATTTATTATAAATTATCCGCATGACTTGCAAACATTGCATTACTTTCCACCTTTAATAATGTTTGTCCCATAATTATATGAATAAATTTAATGAATTTATTCTTTTACTATTTGTTTTATCGAGGATAGGCTAGGTTTAAAATATTTTAAGCAAATATCGGCTGGACCTACGAGGATAAGAGTGAAAGTTACTTGTGGCGCAATGAGGCACAAAGTCAAATAGAAGGTGAATGCAAAGCACAATTGCAGTAAATGTTACTGTCATGCCAAGGAGTATTCTTTTTAACCCAGGCTATAATATTCCAGCCAACTGTTTGGATGATCGGTCATTGTGTGATGAACATGCAGAATGCGTGCCAAACGAGTATGGTCATTATATCTGCAACTGCCACTATGGATATCATGGGAATGGCCGAACTTGCACACGTATGTAATGTCCAGTGATAGGAGTTTGGCTTTTATGCAGAGTGAAAGATGTGAAATATTGATGGTCCTTCAAGATACAACGGAATGATGACGCATAGCGCAGTAAAAATCACTTTTTTATACCCCTCATTAAAGCAGCAAATCAATATTTTGTATCTTCCATTGTTTTTTTCCTTTTTTTTTGTCTGTTTGATCTGCGGAACGGATGTCATCTATTAAAGTTACAATTTTAGCAGATAGCGAAAGTCGTGACGAAGCAATATTTATTTGTCGCGGTATGACAATAATCGAGAGAAGCGTCAATCCTGACCTACCGGGAAAACAGGTATTCTTCTTGGGAAGATTATGTATTTTTGTAAAAATAATTCAATCTAATTAACTGCCTTCATTGTTCTATTCTTCTAGCTTATAGTGGTACCACATCAGATAGCCGTTGGTATTGATTTTGATTGTCAAGAAGAACGGATTGTCTGGAGCGACATTGCTGGTAAATACCAAATAAAAATTTAAATTTTACTTCAACTATATCGTAAGTACTGAGGAATATTGCATTTATGTATTTATGAATACAGGGGCAGATGTAGATAGTATAGGTTGAAACTGAGTGTTTTGTTGGGTGAATACAGTAAAGATTTACGGTGCTGCAGTAACTTATCACTGCTTCTGCTTGAAGAACGAGAAAAGCCGGTTTGAATCAGTCCGATGCTTTCTTCGTTTTCAATTACTGTTAAAGGTCATTCAATCTTATCGGCATCGATAAATGGAACGGATGAACAAAAATTCATGGATACAGTGCTGAAAAGTCCGGAAGGTATCGCTATTGACTGGTCTTCACGTAATGTTTATTACGCGGATTCAGTTAAAGATGAAATTGGCGTGGCCAGTCTTGATGGAAGATATTATAAAACACTTATCAATGAAGGATTAGTGAATCCACGCGCGTTAGCGATCGATCTAACTGAAAGGTGATAACATTGCCTAGAGTTAATTAACAGTTAATCAACTATTATGTGCTCTAGCGGTGGAAATTAAATCACGGAAATTCAAATCAAATTACACCTCCTTAGGTATTTGTATTATTCGGATTGGCATCGTGAAAATCCAGTGATTGGACGCGTACGTTTGGATGGTACCGAGAATTCAGCATTCATATCCACAGAAGTCAACCTTCCTAACGGTATTCAATTTGTAGATGTGATGTGGAAATTCGGCATACAACCAATTAGATTCTTATGAACTTCTCGAATCGCTTCTTTACATATACGCAAGCAGTGCACTTGATCTACAGCTAGTAATAAGTGATTCTAATATTGTTAGGCGGTATAAACTAGGGTCATCGGTGTCATACTAGTTTTCCATAAAAACTGTATCCTCTGGCTAGTTTAGGGCTTACCGTACTTCTGGAACGACGTCAGCTGTGTTGGGTAGATGCTGGCTTACAGCAGTTATCTTGCATTGGCTTAAATGGGCAAAATCGTCGGATTGTTTATGCACCACTCCAGTATCCTTTCGGATTAACTGTCCACAACGAACAACGCTTCTACTGGACCGATTGGAGCGAGTGCGTCTCGATTTTATTTTCACTCAGTTTTCTCTCTCTTTTTTTAAATAATGGAGAAATATGATTTGCTTCGATTGATTTATAAAAACTTGCATTTTCCACTTTAGAGATTCTTGATTGTTTAAGTAAATATACTTCATTCTAGTAACAAAATCCATTCGGTATCGGTAAATGGCGATGGATATATGTCATTTCCAGCAACGATCGGTGGTGGTTCTGGACGACTGTATGGTCTTGTTTCTGTACCATTACGATGCAAAGGAGGTTCGTTTTTTTTGTCATTTTTGGAAAGGAAATTTGCAAATAGAATCTTTTTTTGCAAATAAATTACTCATGCAAATGTCTTGTAGCAGTTAATTAAATAAATTAACCAACGATTTGCACTAGTAAGATAAACAGTAGGGATTGGTACCACATATTCTTCATCTATATCATATCTTTCTTTTTTGTGGTGATTTCTCTGTTCCGGTCTAAATTTCCATCCAGGATCGCTTTTCAGTTGCAACAGCTTGTGCAGTGAATAATGGTGGTTGCGAACACTTGTGTCTGCCGGGGAAGATAGATATAACTTGTGCTTGTCCGGATAATATCGATAGGTGCTAATCGTGATCTGTGTTACTGAACGGCTAGGAAATTTCTGTTTCCTTATCAAAGGAATTATTTTTTTTGCGGTGCATGGTTAAAATCTAGATGGTTTCTCATGGGGAATTTCAAAGTTTTCTGACGAAAATATCATTTGGTGGTGATCAGAATTAAAATTCAGCATGAAGCCATGATCCGAATGAACCTTAATGATTACAGTTAATAAAGATTCTTCTTAATAAAGATTGTCCTATCAATAATATATTTCTATCTGTCTGATTATTACATGCAGTATTAAACTTCAAACTGAAAAGTCCAAGGACGATTTTTCAAGTCATCCCCAAAATTTTCAAATTATTTAATATTTCTGCATTATCCATTATATATTTACTTTGGCCTGGTACCCCAATGATTCTATTAACTTACAAGATATTAATAGAAAAGATCGAGATGTCTTTCTGAACTTTTTTTCCTTTGTCTTATTCATGTTTCATAATTTTCTTAATATTCGTGCGATGATCACGTGTGAAAAAATATATCTCGAACTAAACTCATTACTTGACAGTGATGAAATATGCAAATTATCTGGCTTCCACAATTTTGAAATAACTGAAATATAAACGAAACAAAGATGAATATCATTAAAAACATAATGATAATAGCACTGTCAAACAAGTAGTAGCGGCAGTACCAAAGAACATCAACTAATCTATTGAATAAACAATCTAACATGAAGAAAGTCGTGAGTCTCAACAGAAGAATGTGATGTATTATTAAATTATGTACAGCCTTTACAAAATGAAAGCCTCAATTCTGACGTAAGACGGATTCTTTAAACCGACCAGTCGAATCTTGAAAGAGTGGTAAAGAATCTGTGCCATTAATAACAGTGCGTTTACGTAAAGTGATGGAATCCGTCTCGTAGCATGAAATCAGAGGAATAGTTTTTACGTATTTGTTACAAAACAGTCATGACAGAATAAGAACGAGACCATTAAAATATTCAGTATAGCTTTCTTCAAAAATTAAAAAATGAGGAGCGTAATTGTCGCCATGTGGAACAAAACTCTGTTAGGTTATACCGAGGGAAACCTAAGGTGCGGGATGAATGGAGTAAGAAAGAAAAGTTTCAGGTCAATGATCTCTGGTCATAGAAACAATCAAATTGTTCGGATGATTTCTATCTTCCTTTCTCTTTCTCTTTCTCTCTCTCTCTTGTCCTTCTTTTTGTCCTCTCTCTTGCCTCTCTTATTCTTCTTTACGAAATAAACAGACAAACTAGTTCCAATTACGCACCTCAAAAAAGCAGAATTTATAGTGAAAAAGTTCCATTTCGTAAAAGTAATGATTATGAAAATTATTGGTCAACGGAGTATTTTGAGGTTTATTCTCAACTCATACTATTAGACGAATATTTCTAAAAAATATTCATTTCAAAATTCACGTATTCCTTAGAGCATAATCAATGGTAAAGAAAAATGATTTAAGAATAAAAAGTTGCTAAATTAAATGAATTTTAAATCAAATGAAAGATAAAATAAAGTGTACCTAATTGGTTTTTTTTTTTTTTTTTTTTTTGGATAAAAAAGATGAACAAAGTTAACATATGCAAATTAAAAGCACTATCTTTTCAGTTTTTGCTTTAGGAACACAAAGCCGCATTTGTCTTATCATTATGTTATTAAATTCATTATATTATATCCGGTATCAGAATAATTGTAATTATTTTAAAACATATTTGGATAAGAAAATTTCAGTTTCGGAACAATTCTTAACAGTCGAAGCAATCAGTAATTTCAAAAGAAAATCAGAATCCTTTAATGATTGGGAAACATGTGAAGGAGAGGATGGACACGGAAACGGAAGTGGAGAGAGATAGGATTGATTGTTTTTCATGTTTTTTGAACAATTGTTTCAATTCAAAAATTTTTTTTCTTTCTCATCTCCCGCTCTTCCATTTTTCAATAACATCAGACGGTAACGGCAAGAGTATCGTAGCTAACCGAACAAAAATGGAACAGGAAAAAGTTCATATGCCAATTTCTCCTAGAATATTCCAAAAAATTAACCTATTGTTAAGCTATCCTTAACAAATATGAACTAATTGATTATTTTCCCATCATTTATCAGTCTCTCTCAGTACTTGCCGCAAAAATAGCTGAATGGTTTAGTATTTGGAGAAAAGTGCACAGGAATTATCATCACACAATTTTACAAGTTAAAAAAAAGGAAAAAAAACAAGATAAAAGGATTGGAAAAAGCAATTTAAAATTCTCAGCATTGAATGATTTAAGACGACGTTTGTACTGAATCAATCGATATGGCTGACTCCTTTTGTAAACCAAGTTCTATTTGATCATCAAAAAGGATTGGAGAAATGTCGCCTGTCTAACTTTTAAGTGAAAAAAAAACAATCGATATATTTTAGTTTGTGAAACAAAACAAACAGAAATAGAAGTTAAAAATAGTGTTTGCTATCGTTGGAGAACACACAAATTGTTCCTATTGTGCACTATCCGAAAAATAAAAAATAAGCGACGCTATTGCTTGGTGTTGTGCATTGAGCAAAACAGGACTTGAAGAAGTATGCCAATTATCTGTTATCAGTTATCAGTGATTAAAATGTTACGTTGTATCAGTACAATGTGTGGTTGTTTTTTTTTGGTCGATGAAGAAATGTTTGATATCTTACCTATGAAATACTTCTATCTTACAAAAAATGAAATCACGTAATCTCAAAATGCATTAAAAAAAATTTTTTTGAAAAAAATAAAATGAAGAAATAAAAACTGAGGTGGTAAAAGTGAAACGCAGTGCTTTGTTTTGGAAGAAACATTTTGTACCTGCGATAAGATAAGATAAGGATATATCACTTTGGCATAAATGCATAAAGCTTTTCGAAAAGTGGCAAATTAGCACCAAATGAACGCTTGATTTTAGGTGCATTAGGCCAAAGATTGTAATCCGAACAATATAACAATCGCATCCATTTATAGTAATGTATCATTTTTTCTTCTCGCCACAATGGACAATTCCTAAGCAAAATTCATGCTATTGCATAAAGGAACATTTGCATTCAAAGATAGTAATTGGATGAATATACTTAAAGCAGGAAGACCGTTAGGGAGTGGTACTGTACAGTCTTTATTTAAACACTTTCGAAGCAGTAAAGTAAAAGTTTGAGGAAATAATAGCATCAGCTTGTCTGGCGAAAATGTCTGCTTTTAATATGTACATCTACCTGCGCTTTTCTAACTATTCATGATCTAGAGTAGATAAGTTGCTTCAAAATTTGCAAACGAACCATTCAAAAATACAGATGAATATTTTAGGATTCTAAAATACTAACCTAAAAGCTTCATCCCGTGCTTCATGCTCTGGGCTACAATATGCTCGGAGCTGTGTGTTGTATTGTCTGAGGATTCGGGACAGATTTCGTTTATCCCTATCCATGTCGTTCAAAATATCTGGCGTTAACTTCTCACGATTCAAATAACACTTCTCAACTGGTAACACTTCAAACGGCGCTTCGTCCTACAACTTGCAACTTATTCAAAGAATAGAATATCTCTAAGAAATGCTTTAATATTTATTTTGTTAAAACTATTAGTATTTTGATAAAATTTTTCCAATTAAATGGCAAATTTCAATGATTTAAGACATAGGTAAGTGCTGCAACAAATGGTACTTATCAATAAATGTCACTTGAATTTAATTTCATTTCATTTTATTAAGTTGATTATACTTGATTTAGACGTCTTCAGAAAGAGTTTAAATGAACATTGTTCCAAGCAAGTGCTCCATGGAGAATATGATGGTAAATTATAGAATACCAAAATATGCAAGTCTAATTAGTAGGATAAGAATTTTCTAAACTGAGCCAATTTCATGTTAATTAGTTCTGGAAATAGATCGGCGGTAACTGGTGGTTTCTACTTTCAATGAAACTAGATAATGGGAAAATAATGAGAACAACTGAAGAGAATTTTTAGACTGGACGATGATGCCATTTATTTATTAAATTGTACAGCTGTAAGATAAGAAATTTCAAATAATTTTTGTTATCGTATAAGTTGTTGTATTTGTGATTCACAATCTTTCCTTTACTTATTTTAACACTTTCTTATCCTTTCGAAATATAAGTGTTATCATCCAATATTTTTTTTTTAAAAAAAAGAAATGTGTTAGCGATTTTAGCTAAATTGTTAGCGGCGAAAAGAATTTCAAAAAAAGTTTACCTCATCATCAATATCAATCGGTGGTAAATCATCTACATATTCTGGTTGCGAAATGGCTAATTCGATCATGATTGTCCCAACGACGATCGGACCTCGGGACGATATGCTGTTCCACTTTTCGCTCCACTTTAAGTTCAAATCCTCCTAGTGATGCCAACTTTGGTTCTTCTGTTTTCCGCTTCTTGTTTCCATTATTCTCGTTCAAGCTACCTGATTCGACCACTGAATTATCACCTTCCTCATCACTTGAAGTTGGTGTACTTTGCACTGATTTCTGAATATCAATAACAACCGGTTGTGTGGCGTTCTCGTCCATAAGCCGTATTTCGATCCGTTCAATTGGTGTATCCAGTCGCTCTACTGCAATTCATCCAGGCTGCCCACTGTTTAACTAGTCATTCCGGAAAACTGGACTTTTTATGCAAATTCAAAGCGGAAGTTTTGCATATCTGTCGTATTGAGATAGAGCTCAATTTCTCTACATCTTTTAGAATTAAATTTTATTAAGTTAACAATTTTGGAATGCTTTATTTTAACTTCGACTATATCAGCACCAAATTAGTATCAAAAAATCAAAACAAAAAAGTTTAATTTAGAAGAGATGCTTCAGATTTTGCCTTAAAAAATCGAAAATGTTCGTATTTCATCTCTTTTTCCCCCCTTCGCCGCTTTATTCTACTTTCCAAGTTATGTCGCAACTAAATTTTAGTGAGTTGTTGAAGAAATACCCCTAAAAGAGGTGGAAGTATCAATGATAACAGCCTTTTCGCTATCGGCCAGAACCACTGAATCAACATTGTTGTTTGCACCAAGTCGCATCGGCCCACTTAGCACCAAATTAACTTCAAACAATAGCAGATTTAATTTCCACATGTAACTGTTGAACATTATCTGTAATTCAATGGGATTCCAAAGCGATATTACTTGTTGAATTGATTCCAGCCATCGATATCTTACTTTAGACCTAAGATTTGTTCTATCAAAATATTTAAGACAAACGGTTCGGTGCAAATCCAAATTAGTCATAGTTACAGCAAATGTAAATCGAATGATTATTGGTGCTTGTGTTCTTAATGAATTGGAGGAAAGAAAGAGCAAAAGAGCAATATGAAAAATACAGTAAGTTGTAAGAAGTGACTGACACAAATCCTTTCTGGTTTATGGGATTCTTAAAGGTAAGTAATTAAAACAATACCTGAAGAACCTATAAGATTACTATAATTATGTTTAATAAAGGTAGGGAGAAAAAGAACGACTAACTTCCAATTTTATTACTCTTTACCTTGTTTTTCTTTTTTTTTTTTTAGTTTTAAAATGCTTGCTCCTAACTTCAAAGTTTTAATTTACATTTAATTTGAATTAAATCGAAAATTTGATTTTATAAAAAATCATTTTCCCTGATCTTATTATTTAAGTTTATTGTAACCCACTTCATCTCTATTTTGTAGCAACTCTCGGAAGATACCATTCATTTAAACCAGAAGTACTAATCAATCATCAAACTTTCTGGAACAGGTGCAAAGCAGTAAATGAACAGCAGTATGATGATGAAACATGAAGAAAAACTTTCGACAAATAGTGAAGTTTAATTCATATTCAAATATTTAATGAAAAGAAAAAAAATTCAGCGTTTTTTGGGTCAAATAAGAAATAATGGAAGCAGGAAAGACCTGTTGAGAAGATATTTTCGAGAAGAAAGCATCATGCTTAGGAAGACGCATCTATAAACGAAGAATTTGGTGGCGAATGGGAGAGTGGAAAGGTTAAGCAAAGAAGTCTAAGATTTCAGGAATTTTCGCAGTACCGAAAAGATTGAAAGAGATGATAGTGGTGATAAGGAAGAGGAGGAATTAAAAGATGCGGTAACCACAGCATTGAAAATCTAGCTTTTTTAAAATTTTTCTTGTGGTGGGGTTGTTGATAACGATAGCTCGAGCTAAAGAGACGAGGGGAAGTTAGGCACGCGGATCGAGAAGTGATTAGCAAGTAATCCTCCTTCTTTCCTCCCTGTGAAGGATAGATTTACCTTTGTGGAACAGTTGTTACATTTTAAAAATTGTTTCAGACTTCTATTACAGAGCCTTGCATTGGAATAGCTCGGTGTTACCTCATCTGGAAAATCTTAGAAATGTGGCTGCAGAAATCAAAACTCATTATCCAAATTTGAATCAACATTCACTCCATAGAGCCTGGGTATTAGGTTAACTTCTATACTCAAATTCGGAATAGTTGAAAATAGAAGTATATATGTGATTTCTGACCTTATTAAGATGATTTTTAATATTAGTTCCATAGACAACATCATTTTTACATTCGGAGAAACTCCCGACAACTACATTTCTTCAACATCTTCGGCTTTCGTTTTCGAAAATTGGATTTGAAGACTTAAATAAACACGTGGAGTTGGATATCAGAAATTGATCTTCTGTATTATGTAATATTTAATAGAAACAATCGTTATCAAATATCGCTGTTTCTCTTTTTTCCTTTAGGTGACAAAGAAGATTTAGTCATACCAGAATAAGTAAGCTGGTAGAAAATGATCAAACATGACTTTTCAATTTAGAAAGTTTTGAAATAAAATAAGGCATTTGTTCAGGAGAGGTGAAGAGATATTGCAATGAAATAAGCGACTGTTAGGGAACTAATTAATTCACTGGACTGCTAGTGATGCAAGAGATATTTTTAAAAATTAATTAATGTAATCCGTTGGATGATAGCACTTTAAAGGAAGTTTTCTAAAATAAATATTGCTTCTGAAAATTCAAGAAAGATAAAGAAGAGACCAATTACTGAATTTACCTAATTATAATATATTTAAGGGATTCATACATTCTATCTAAAGCTTCTCCATCTGACGAAGAATGAATGAATTCATGTTTGGATTATCTCTTCCTTTCCCGTTACTATTGAATTCGATTCCTAAAAGAAAATTATAGAAAATAATCAATAAATGGGAAGTTTAATGTTGGAATTTATCCGGCATTATATTTACCTACAGTTTCTCTTGTCCGATAGCTTAGCCAATGTTAGCGGAAAAAGATGTGATGGATTTAGTTGATTACTCACTCTTGCCTGCCAACTCGGAAGACACAAATATCAAATGGATGCATACCTTCTAATGCTAAACGATACAAGTTAAAAGTACACTAAAGTACTAAAAATCTTTGCTATTATCAAAGAAATAACGAAGGATAATATTCTATGAAGGTCACTAGGAATTACTTAGATTAAGGGAAGGAAGTATTCGATTAGGAATTGTGGATGACGGAAAAACAGATGATTTCTAGATTAGGCGATGGAGTTGAAGGAAATAAGGACGGTATCTTTGATGGTGACAAAGATTGATGAGAGTACCGAAGTAAAGCTCACTGAACAATTGGGAAATTGGTAATTACGATGCTGCGATATTACCAGATAAGATTCCGTTCAAGAATATCATGTAAAAAAAAAAGTAGTTGATCGAACTGTGTGACCAATCCTGAATGCTGCTGTTTTTTCGCCTGATCGATCTTTGAAACCGATCATCGGAGAAAAAAAAAGGAATAATCTTATTTGCTATAATTCCTTATCAAATATTCAATTTGTTTCAACAAAATGTGAGGAAAAATTAAAAATATATAAACAGTACATTAATTAACTTGTTTAAGTCTTCCAAAAATAATAAAATACAAAAAAAAAAAACTAGAAAATGACCGAAAGCTATAAATGATGCTGGGAAAAGAACAGAATTGTCACTAGACATTGTCAGGGAACTGATAACAATCAAAAAAAAGGACCCAGGATTCGGACAGTTTCGGAAAACATGAAAATTTCAGTCAGTATTAAACGGGTTTTCCTTTTTTAATATCTGTTTCATAATGGCCGCAGAAAAAGAAATTACTGGAATTATGCGTTGAGATGAAAATTTTCGCACCTTAGGTCACTCTCTATTGATCTTCATATAATCGTCGTAAAAGTAGTCGTCAGCAGATGTCCTCCTACTATCCGCCGATCACTAAGTATCCCTCTTCTTTGACTGTAGAAATGCTATCTTTACACAATCCGTTTCTTTTCCGTTTTCTAACAGAATTTACACTCCTTTTCATTTTACATGTATCTTAGTCTTGAAAACTTTCAGGTCTTCCTCTTTTAGATCAAAACACAGAGATTGCTCTGAAAACGATCCCTGCTCATAAGTAGAGACTTAGGTCAAAAGCTTGCTATGTCAATATATCGGCTTAAGGTTCAAGAGCTCAAGAGAGCTAATACCTATTGCTTACAGGATTTTTCGAATTGCGATATCAAATGCTTGGTGGTATCTTATAGCACTGTTTCATCTATTACTCTACAATCTTGTTTCAGGAGATCTGGCACAGTTGATCATAATGGGTAATATCATCCGGAAATAATAAACCCGCTTAGAAGTGTCCTCCTCTCTAATCGCAGAAACAGTTGCATCTTTTCAATTATTTGAAATATTAAAGGTTTCGAAATAAATTGCAATACCGACTGTCATCTATATAATCCTTAATTATGTGGAATTAGAAAGTTCAGACATCCTTTAAATTACATAACTTTTCTAAAGTCAAGTTGGAAATTGTGAAAGATTCCATATTACTTCGTGTTATAGTCAATAAACACTAATAGTAGGAAAAACGATACCAGCACGTCAACGATGCCGAAAGTTCGAACCACCGAACTGTTTGATATTCATCAATCGTGACTGCTCCGAGCCTACGATCATTTACGACGATTGCGCGGTATCCTAAAGAAAAAAAGCATTCTAAAGTAAACAAATGGCAACGCTGTTGGCGGGTAAGCTCAGGACGATTATTATTAATTGGTTGATTGATATTACTTCAAGAATGACTGATTGGATTTCAAGAATCGTTGCCACTTACATGATGGAAATCTTCAAATGGTTGATTAACGTTAGCCTAGAAGTTACATCAATGAAACTTTGGATGCAGAAACCTAGGTTGTTATTATCAGAGTAATACTTCTTTCTTTTTTTTAATATCTCCATGATGAAGCTCAGCAATAAGCTCATTTTTCTAGCAAGAAATTCTTTAAAATTTAAAAATCAACTCCTTACAAACGACTCCCTACAACTCTGATATCGTCCAATACTTGACACTTGAAAGTTCCATCAGAATATTTGCAGTGAATACAATTTGTATTTTTGGATAGAATATATTAAAATTGATGGTTATCGTAGTAGAAGAAGGTCTGCGAATGATATCTATGCAAAATTGTACAGAACAAGAAGAATGGATTACAGTTGCTGTGTTGCAGACTTGTAAATCTCAGAGTGTTACTGTAGAAAGATTATTTTGTTTCAAATAAGTTTCAAATAATATTACCTTTCCTTTTCATCGAGAAAATACATCATTTGCTAAAAAAATTGATTAATTTAAGATCAATTCAAGTTTAAAGATAATCAATAATGCGAGAATTTATAGCAGAGAATATTTGAATTGCTATGTACCGTATTAATTAGATGAAGTCATATCAATCAGACCGATATGGATTTGAAAGTCAGAATGATGAGTTTCTTCAAATCCATCCATTTAAATTCGTATCTGACGTTTGGTATATTAATCAATGCGAGACGAATTGCGTAATCGTTTTTAATGATTTTATCTATCCTCCATATTTTTATTTTTGGAAATTTTAAAGATTAAATTTATTTAAATTTGTTGTTAAAACTCTTCCAATGCGAAAAAAAATGGTCATCATTAACTTGACCCTTTTTTGTCCCATTTGCTGGAACTATCCTCTCATTGATTCATTAATAACTCTCCTGTAATGTGACCTCTTCCTCTAGATCAATCGTCGTCATTCTTCTTGATCATCCTCCTCCCTCACTTCAATACCTAACATTTTACATTCATTCAAGCATGTTGACTTTACAATTTCTATTCATTCTCGGCATTACACGGATTTCCCAAACATGCCTTCCAAATACCAAACGTCTTTATGATCAAAAATTGGACTTTAAACCAAAACCCATAATTAACGATTTAGAGGATATTATTACTGGACTAAACACCACCAATCACTTGTATCAATATTACGCGCAAAAAAAGGACAAAAATGAAGGTTGAATCTTTCCCTTTGTTATTTCAATTTGGTATGTGATAAGATCTGAAACAAAGACAATATAGGAAATGTACAAAGAATATGACGAACAAAACAAGGATGATACTGGTCAAATGAAATAAACCTGTACATCCAGACGGTCTCCGGTATTACTCAGAGTAATATCGGAGCTTTAGTTCTGTTACTCTTTGGAAAACTATTATCCGTGATCACACTTTACCCGTAAATATGAAGTTCCAGTGAATTCAGTGGTAGAAGAGGTATGATAATAATTGTTATTATGTCATGCTGATGAACGGTATGATAATTGCAGCATGTCATGCATGTCCGAAGTTCAAATTACCCGATTGCACAGTTCTCAAAGAAGGCTTGCGTTGTGTAAACCCTAAAGTATGGTATCATCGTGGCAGTTATTGTTTGCATGCTGAATTCGCTTGCAATCACAGTTTTCATGCAGTGCAAGGACGAATGATTGACAGAATCCGATTGGAGTAAGTTGTACTGTTTCGATCACATAGCAATCATATCGTACCAGCGGAATAGCACGAAGAAAAGTTAATTTGTAAAGAGTGAAACATTACTGAGGGGCGCAAATGAACATGCTAAAGCCTTCTTCAATCTAATCAAGGGTAAGAGTCTGGTAAAGTTGCTCAGTAACGGTAGTAAGCTCTTTCGAAGTTTCAAATTTTCGGCAATTTCATGAAATCTTTGTCAAAAATATGAAAGTAAGAAAGCCATTGTTGTTGCAACCTCATTTTACTTTTTAGTGATGATTACGCGGATCCAAGCAAAGATGACGCAAAACACAAAACATACGGTGTGCATCAGTTACACAGATTGGATGAAAGAATTCAACGTTTTCCTATAAGGGGATTTAAGCGTCTTCCACGTGAAAGTTTATATTGTATGACTGATAAACGATGGTACTACCGTTCCAATTATCCGCCTCTTATCATTCGAACTGACCAGATTTTCTGTTTATAGATGAAATGGGTGAGGGATAAAATTACCATACTAACCTTTTGTACGTGGACTAAAATTAAATTACATTTCGCATATGTAGTGCATTTCTCAAAGTTGTCCAGATTAATTAGTTATCACAGATTAAATAATCTATACTTCTCATTTAAAAATCAAAATGTTAAATGAACAAATGAGAACGTTTTTTTTCTACTCAATAACCTGAAAACTATGCATCGTATTGTACTGCAAGAATAGTACAGTATCAATACCTACCATAAATTGATTTTTGCGTTTTGAATCCAATTCTGCTTATTGATATCATGTTCGTTTGTTAAAAGTTCTCGAATTGTTTATACTTCATAATTTTACGAAAATGACAAAATTCGCAACTTATTTTCAGCAAAATTATGCTTTTTGAGCAAATGTTGAATTGTTTTCTACTCGGTATGTTTTCTACTTTTCTATTCGGTAGTATCCGATCTGTAAATAATGACAAAAGTTGATTTTGCATTTTTTCAAAAATGACTAGTCTATCAAAGTTAATGTGAGAGTCCTCATAATTACTAAAATGTTATGCTATATTTTTTGTCATTATATCGAGAGAGAAACCCGTCGATCGGACTTTACTTTAACACGTTAGTCCGATCAACAGACACTCTCTATATATAAAGACAGAAACTATCAATTTTGCTGAGAATTCAAAGAAGGGCATTATATCAGAATTATATGATATATTATTTATAAGTATATCAATATATATGAGTCGTTGTAGATAGATACAATGAAATTGAAATGAAATGAAATGCTTTGTTCAAACAAATCGATAAGTTTTAGTTCACTAATGGATGGAATAAGTTCGAATACATTAAACTAAATGAGAAATGAAGTGTAATCAGATCAGAGTGGCATGCTTTAAAATGAATTTAAGTATATGTGTATCTTAGTGTAGTAACGGTAAATAATTTTGATACAAATCTATCTCAACTATCCATCAAATTCGATGTGTAACTAACAGGTAGCCATATGACGTGGGATTAGGCGATGAAATTATGGAATAATATGAAGTACTTGCATTTCACTGGTATCTGTCGTAATGGATTCCGACAGCACTTCGTCACCAGCAACTGCACATTCAAAATCCTTTAAGACAATAAAGTGGATTTGAATCTAGGGAATTAATGATCGACACCGAAATTAATGATATTATATAAATTTGATCTTTTGATTCCTTTTGCAAATACTTATAATCTTTCAGCTTTCTATTAAGCTTTCTATTTCAGTTCACTATTTTTCAAATATCGCATATCTGAATTTAGTTGATCATTTATTAGATGCAAAATTAATTTTAGAGATGAAGAAGTGGAGGAATTGTGAAATTAGAAATAAAGATACTTTTTTAGAAAGGACTTTAATGCGTTGTCCGTTGCGTTTAGTGTGTGGATCGAATAATTCACTGAAGTAGCTGTTTTCAAGAAAACGTGGACCGGATAAGCGGTTGACCGGGTTATATACCAATACTTGTGCTAATAAATTTAATGCATTGTGATCAGCGCGTTTTATTAACTAAAGGGATTTGAAATGTATTATGAGAATTACAAATGTTAAATAATTTGTCTCAGGAAGTAATTATTTTTGGAATAATTTCTTATGTTACAAACTCTTGACTTTTGTAAAGAGTGGATTTGAAATTTAAAAAGCGTACCATTTTGAAACCAGAAGGGTTTGGTTTCTTCATTATCTAAAAATTTGTCTAGTTAAAAAGATTTTGATATAGAATAATGCTAAAATAAATCAATCAAACTTGATAAATTTCCAAGGCACAAATTGAATTGAAAAATGAAACAAATTAATTCGGCAAAATTGAAGATGTGAACTGAATAATGGAAAAGGGATTAAATTGCAAATAAGAAAACATGAGGATAATGGATAAAGTGCCCAGCCCCACATATTGTCGTATCATATAAAAACCGATACTATTAAGATTCTTCAGAATCGAACGAAATTAAGAAATAGGGTTTGATCTAACAGATCAGACCTTGTGAACTTCTGCTTAAAAACTTTGTAAAAAGAGTCTCACACATTACATCTGTACTATATCAGTTTGAAGGTATTGCAGAAGATTAAGAAACGAACATCATCACGAAAATCATCGCTTTGGAGAACTTCACTGGTCACTCGCATCGCTGCGATATCACGCGGACTCGGGTATCCCAAAATGTTGATCACAAGCTGTAAATGAAACTATTGCAAGATAATTTTATGAAATGTATGTTAATTTATTGGAAAAAATAACCCTAAGCTGTTGGTTGGTAGTTTGTCCTGGAAATAGAACGTGGTTTTTTAAAAGTTCGCCGAATACACAACCGCATGACCATCGATCTAAAGAAATTTTATTATATTTAGGAGAAGGCCATGCTGATATGAGTAAACTATTAGGTTAAAAACCATCAGGCTAGACGATGGTCTTTTCATCTTTACTTTTGTTCAGTTAAGAAGATAGTTCAAAATATTTTATGTGGAAGTAAAATAAGTGCTGTTGGGCTGGAATTTATCAGCAATGCTGGCTCTGTTGTGGAAGTATTCTATAAAAATTTCTGGAAGGAAAAGAGAGAAGCATAACCAATTTCGCATCGGTATCGAATAGAACCCAAAATAAGTTCTGGTGCACGATAATATCTGGTCACATGATAGTGATGTGATGTCGTTGCTTTGTCATGTATTATCTATAAAGAATATGATACTATTCAGATGATACGTTCGAAATATTTGTAAAAAAATTACTTTTATTTAAGGTTGCATAATAACTAACTTTTGAGGATCCAAAATCGGTAATTTTAAGCATTCCACTCTTATGATCTACCAGCAAATTTTGTGGTTTTATGTCTCTGTGACAGACATTGTTCTGCAATAAGAATTCCGCCTAAGATGATAAGCTGAGATTCTTGAATTTCCCAAAAATTTCCCTCATAAATCGTCGAAAAAAAAACTTTTTCCAAATGCGCTTGTCCACGGAATAACTGCCAAATATACAATTTGATATCCAAAATGCTTAGAGGACCGTACCGTTCCCGAACCTCATACAAATTCATTGGAAAAAATTCAAACACCAATGCCGTACATATCTGCAAGATCCAGTCAATTCAGCAAAACGAATAAATGGATAAATCATTATTTTTATTTCACAAAATAACCGATTAAAGTTGTTAAAGTTCTTTATGACAGAAAAGGATATTGTCGGAGAAGGTCACCAATTTAAAATGTGTATCAAATTCGCAGCAGACCTTTTGATCAGGATATGATTGGCTGAATTTATACAACAGTTGAACAATATTTTTGTGATGCATACGGTTCAACATCATTAAAATTTGCACCTCCATTGATCTGTGATTTGCTAGAAGTTATAAAACCAATTTTTTAAAGAGGATTTAAATAATTCACTAGAAATTACCAACTTTATACCGCAGGATGATTTCTGAGAACCTTAGCAAAAGCAGTCAACAGAACAACTTAAACTTTTGCGACTTTTCTTACATCACTCGAACGATCTGTGAAAAACCATGAAAGAAGTGAACACAGGTGTTTGGAATGAATTAAAGATGCCGAAAGAAGGTGCAATAAAACTTGACAGCTTTGGAATATTTGACGAAAAGCTGGTGATTTTGTTTTTTTATCTTTTTATTAAATCAATCAAAGATCACACTTCTATTGTGAACAGCAATAATTGTTATTGCGCTGGATACACTTCTCATTTTTCATTTCAGTCGAATAAACAACAAAATCGACCCTACTCCTCCAAACCAAAAACTAGCTCACTCTGATCTGACCATGACTTCTTAACAGCTATCAATCGATGCTGTGGGTATCTGAGCAATCCCTTGTAAACATTTGAAAAAATTCCGTTAGAGAACAGATGAAGATTTTCCATTACTAATTCCACCTGATTCTAAAATATGCACCTAATCATGTTCATCAGTGGTGGAAACTGTCCCTTCTTTTGGTCCATTGCACTTCTTAAAAAAAATAAAATAAAATATGAGCGAGGAATTAAAACTGATCGCTACTAATTTTATCAAATTTCAACCAAAGCAACTGTAATTTAAAACCGTTTCGTGCTTTCCGAATTCTTCTGCAATCTGTTTAACCACATAAGCTGCTGACATTGGCTATCTCTTACTGATAAAAAAAAATAAACGAAATAACCAGGTGACTCTGAGATTACTATTTAAGTACTACCCGATCATTTTGCATAAATATATACATATGTATATATATATGAATTTAATAGTAAACAGTGAATTTAATATGTAGACTTTGTTTATTTCCTGTAAAGTGATGATTTTCCAAGCTTTAAAATTTAGGATTAAAGTTTCAGACCAGTTGGAATAAAGATGAATTTGCCAGTTTTTCAAGTTCTATCTGGATATGCTCAAACTATCCATGAAATTAGACTCTTTGATTACTAATTATTATGCTGCAAGAGATTATTTGGAAGACGAAATACAATGGCAGATCTAAAATTGCTTATTTAGATACAGACCAAAAAAAAGTTGGTTGTTTTGTTTAGGTGCAATAGATACCAAAATGACAAAAGTAAGCTATCGACAAGAATATTATCGAATGGATGATGGTCATATTTTTGTTTAACTTAATTTAGGAATCAAAACCAGTGTCTGTGAAGCCAATGAAGATCTTTCGTATAAGCCATCGAAGACAAATTTACACCTTATTATTTATCATATAACTTTTATTTTGAACTCACTGCTCATTAGTATTTGAACGCAATTTTGCTAGGATCAATGGTGAAGATAATATTAACCAATGAGACAGTATTCTGTGGGAACAAATAAAGAATCACTTGCACAAGCAGCTTTTACGTATTCCGAAGGATAAGATGGAAAAAGTGAGAATTAAGAGATCCAAATAGATAGCGATGAATTTCTAGCATGAAATTTGATATTTCAAATGGGGATGGTACCATAAGTTCCCTGTCCATGATTTATTTCTGAAATAGATTAACATTTCAATTACAAGCGCTAACCAAATTTATGGGATTTATTGAAGGCAGTCCATGAGCCGCAATAACCAGAATGATCAATCTTAGCTTGACCTAACAGTGGACATTGATGAGTGTGGACATTTTCGGTGGACAACAGTGGACATTTTCCATCACACTGATAACGAGAAAATTGCAGGAAGAAACCGAGAGGGGCATTCTCAAAGCAGGATTTGATCCATGTTTAGCACATTGCTTAGGGTGTGTGGACAATCTGGGAATTGGGGAAGACCTTATGCTCACATTCCATCATCTAACTTGAACTCCCTACTATGTTGCTAACCTTCTCTGTACTTTTTTCCTCCTCTTCACTGTTCCCTCCATGTTTAGCATCCTCCTTATTTTGAGTAGTCTTTTTATCCTCCTCCTTTTCGCCTTCCTTTTTCTTCTCTTCATTTTTCTTCTCCGTATCCTTATTGCCGTTTTCCTTTTTCCCTTCTTTTTCCCCTTCCTTCTTGTTATTTTCCCCTTTCTTATCTTTCTCTCCTTCTTTCACTTCCCTCACCTTCGACTCAACGGTTTTTGTCTGAAAAAATTTCAAATTTCGCTCTTTATAAGCCGCTTCAGATTGGATGAATGTTATTGGTATGGTCTACCTGAGCTGCGACTGCTGCCTGTTTAATCTGCGGTAGAGTAAGGGCCTGCCCAGGAGCACAAGCTACTTCTGGACAGGACCGTACGCAAGTCGGACCTGGAGGAACGCGAAGTTGTTGGAACGTGACCTGGAAATTCTGATATTTCAATGCTTATAACCGTGACAGGGATGGCTGAATTTTTCAAAAAAAATTTACTCGAATGGACACGAAATAGACTGCCGGAGTCTAGCAATTTGACATTGCTAACTTGCTTAACACCCAATTTGGACAAATATTTCATCAGTTGATTTAAGATTTTAATAAACCTGCAAGTCGTCGTCGATGCAAACAACAGCACCTGCGTTATTGAACTGTCCCGCATAATTTGGGGCAGAGAATATCGTGATCAACTTTTTACCGACCATCAATTCGTATCCGTCTTGTACGACCTAAAAACTTTCTTGGTTAGTTGTTAGACAAATTTTCGGCAAGATTCGTTGCTTGAAATATTTCAGTATGTCATATTTATATCCCTCTCCTTATCTGTTTCATGTCTAAAAAAAAAATGTTACCTGATGGGCTCGGATGACAAGGTCAATTTTTAACAGTTTGCAAGCGGCAAGCAAAGCACCTTTACCGAATGAATAACTGAGACCGCGTGGAGAGTAGAACCATCCATCTCCTTTATTTGTTGGGTCTGACCAAACCAAATCGATCAGCAATCCACGATCCTAAAGTATGATTTGCAAACTACATTCAATTAACAAATAATAGAAGAACCTCATATGTACTAAAAACATTTCAAATGCAGCTGAACACTTACCAGCGGTTCGCAAGGGCGTTTAATTTGGCGGATTTGCTCGAGACTGGTAAGATGCGGTGATAGGCCACCATGCATGCAAAGAACACGTTTAGAGATAAGTCCAGCCATAGGCATACGGTTGAAAAATGACTGGAAATCCCACCATAAGCCAACGCTAAAGCATTTTTCTATTATTTCAAAAGACTTATAAAATTCTCAACACAATGGTAAAAATGTTTCAAAACACTTGCAGTTTAAGCCGTTAAATGGCTCACCCATATTTAAGCGCACATTCGTTGTAGAAGCCGTATATACGATTTACTGCTGGGGTCTCGTGGTTCCCTCGAAGCAAAAAAATGCGATCTCGATATTTCACTTTCAAACACAGCAGATAAATCATTGTTTCAATCGATTGCGGCCCGCGATCGATATAATCTCCCAAGAAAATCATTTTCACTTCCGGTACTCTACCGATCACTCCAAATAGTTTATGCATGTCCTGTATTTTATATTTCAAGTTTAGCAGCATTAAACTTATGATTCAGACTGTTCAAGGTTCAAGATATGAGATCGAGTGGATGAGCGATGAACAAATTCAGCTTTTAATCCCTCTTTTTTCCAGTTTTTGAAATATGTGTTCTCCGTAAAAGTCTTGAAAGCACAACATTTTCATCTCATTTTGAATTTCATCATATATACATATACCTACCCTACTCCCGAGAGGAGCCTGTAAGTGCGAAAAATCATCAGTTTCCTCACTTCATACTGCCCATGGATATCGCCAACAACTTTGATTGGCACTTCAACTTCAACCAGTGAACCTTCTTCCATCATAATTAGCCCAGCAGTGGACATTAATGCCAATATTTCTTCCAACGTTATTTTTTGATTCATTTGAATCCCCTGAAGATTTTTATTCCTCTCCCATGCGACTCTTTGATAGCTATGTGTCTGCACATCAATCAGCTATGAAAATGAATTGCATTGATTTGGAACGTCGCTAATTAATGCGGATAATGAGCAAAATATCTATTTTAGTACAGTTTCAAAGCAAAAGAAAATTTGGCATCTAATCAGGCGACAAACAAAAAAGGACTGTATAATGAACCACTATTACGAGAGAGAAGCGCGCACACTATGCATTGAAGCAGTACTGATTATTATTCTCTAAAAACTCCAGATTCGACAACATCCAATCAAGGATGAAGTCTTCAATCTGATTAGGTCAAACTGATTTACTTTTTTGGTACCCATTTCTTCTAGTACAGCTATCATTTTGTCCAACGTTTCCGCTGTAACGCCTGTAGCCATCGCTTTACTTCAGTTCTCTTTGCAATAATTTCAAACGATATCTGGAAACGCAACTGCTCTGCACCTATGGCTGCTTTACTTTAATTGACAGTGATCCGTCGAAATTATAAGATAAAGGAAGCAGAGTACGTGACACTGCCGGCTGCCAATATCAGACGATAAAATAAACTAATAAAGCTGGAATCATTCCTAACTATTTTATTCTCTCTTCAGAACTTCGCAAATTTCTAAATTTAATTTGCATAATCCATGAAGATTCAGTACGATACTTAAGAGAGTATTAATATTTAGAAACTGAGGAGTAGGGTAAGGAAAGTCAAATGACGCATATTCTGCGACTTTGTTTCATTTGACAACAAATTTCATGAAGATAAAAAATGGATTTTAGGATAGTTATATTCCTTCTCACCTTCTTTTGCATGATTAATAAGCACTTTCTAAAGCAATTTTTTAATGCTTTTCTTACATCAATAAAGAATTTTATAAGTTAATTATAGCATATCCCGATAGGGATGAAATGAATTTGGGTAATTGCCTGGAACAACTAATTTTTATTCCGTGAATACAATGCTGTGTGGAAGTAACATTCAAAACTAAGTGGTACGTAGTAGGGAAGTCCAAATTTTGGAATTTTCGGTGAAGACCGTTGACGCTTCGTTAAGCAAGACTAACACATTACACGATTCTGCTTTCAATGTTTCATGTCAGAGCAGTTCGAGAAATATCACCGCCATTTCTCTAAAATGGCAGGAAATGTGCTCTCGAAAACATACCTGAATGACAGGAGTGCGTATGCTCCTCACACCATATTACCATGATCAACTCTTCTCCATGCAGTACTCTCAAGATGTTATTGTGCATCGCGCTAGTTCTGCAGGTTCGTCTGTTTTATAAAAACTGGTTTGATTAGCCTAGTGTGTTCTACCGTGCATGTTCAGTTATCACTTATGACTTTCTACATATCCACAAGCAAATGTAAATTTGTCATAAACAGAAAAAATTGGAGGAATATTTTTTTTGCCCCACCACTCTCGCTCTTTTTTGTTCATTTTAAAAATTTTTATTGACTAGAACAAAAAACCAAGGAACTAATGCGATAACGATCAATGTGTAGGTGGTAATATATGAAGACAGCAACGGGTTTTTGTGCAAATGGCATCTGTCTTTGTGTGTCATATGCCTATACCATTCTTCATATTTTCTCATTCGCTACCCTTCCCCTTGCTTTTATTTGTCAAGCAATTATTTAACGCTAAAATTAAGTCTAATTCAATCTTTTTGAATTTACAAGACTTTGTGAACTATGCTTTACTGAGAGGTGCATCTACTGTTACTATCAACAACACTACTTCATTAGAAATAGTAAACGGGGAAATGTCGCATCCGGTAGCTGCATCTAGCTGGTACAGGGATGAAGCTCCGTAACCATAAAATGTTATAATAAATTCAAAAGACCTCACTTATAGCCTATTTTTCGTTATCACTCATATGTAGATGGAAGTCTGTACAAATTGAGTCTATGAGAAGTGAGGAAATAAGGTGGTTTAAAGATGAAGCAATTCTATTTCCGATTGCTTCAAATACGATTTCGTTCGGTAATAATACCCTGAATGGTTTGACTGACTGCTTAGCTGATTAAACAAAACTCGAAACGATCCACACAAGAATCCAGGGGAAGAATTTTTCTCTAAAGTGCTGTTGACATTAGCCTTTTTCAGTTTTGTTCGTTGGCACTTTATTCAAACTCAGATTTTTCTGTCACTTGAATTTTTTTAAGTAAATTTTCTTTTAAACAATACTTTTCCAAATGAACACCTAACTTTTTTCAAAGAAAGAAAGACCTAACCATGCTCTGTCACGCCTCCCCTCATCCGGACTCGTCGAGCCCCTCCTACACTCGCTCCCTTGCCAGCACTATTAACGAAGCTTTGTTGTCCTGTCGCATACCAATTGCATGCCATCGACTATGAAACTTGAATATTGCTGACTTCGTATGTGTACGCGTAGCTCCCTGTTCGGGAGCGAGTTTATTCTGTTTGGTGATGTTCAAAATGCATAATTTGGTGTAGAAATATGAACAAAACTGAAGAAGCTTGTTTCTAAATTTTTTTTGGAGTAATTGTTGAAATATCTATGATAGTCAAGTGAGGATCTGTTCACTATTTGAATGTATTAGTATTAGCAGCGAAAAATTTGCTTGACCGCCTACGCAGGATAGCATGACTTGACTTTTCACCAATGGTGTTTAAACCAAATTGAAATTTGTTAAAAGAATAAGAAACGCTGGATGGCTTAATTCGGTTAAATGCATATTGACGACAAGATTTGTGAACAATCTTTTGATAGCTCTCTCATTGTTAACTGTTACTACTGATTAATTCAAGTGTATTGAGTATATATATATATAGCATTATTCTCAGCTCCTTATCTATAGGGATAAGCATAATGGCTATTGTTCACTAATGGGTGTGAGTTAAGACCAAAGTTGTAATTGTTGTTGAAAGGCGAAAGGTTTCCTACTTAAAATTTCACTTAATCTCTAAATATTCATTTCCTACATCATTTGCATGTTAAGGTTATGGCTCTGTTTAATTTATCGTACGGCTGAATTATGAGAATGGGATTTCATTGATCTCTTTAATATCATAGGCTCTTTTAAATAAGTAAAGTCAGTGTGAGACATAAATCTTTACCCAGTACGCGGAACGACGCATTCTTTTTTTCTTTTGTTTTAAAGAAGTCTTGAGAGAGAAATATTACTGCTTTATCCATCTTTCAGATTAATTAATTAATTAAAGAAGATGTTTGGAGATGATCCACCACCATTGCCCCCAACTCCATGTGCTGAAACTCCATGTGACGTTACTTTTGTTGACTTAAGCGATCATGATCGGTTTGTTGCTGTTGCGGATGATGATCACGACGGAGATGATGCAGAATTTCGTCCACATATGTCCGGCATACTTCAAACTGAACCAGATTCGGAATTTGTTAACCCTGAAATGGTAGTACCTCATACTAAATCTATAAATGCAAGCGAAATTCCGGAATCTTGTTACAGCCACTCTACTGCATAACAATTCTGATGAAGAACAGAATTCTTCATCCTCATCTTTGCAACCTCAATTTCATCAGTTTGCACAAATTTCTAAACCTCGAGGTTTATCGCCTGAGGTTTCAGGCTGTTCTGAGTACTTAGATTTGGTAAAGAGCTTTGTTACGGCTCTTCTTTCAGGTCACTATTTTAGTTATCAACACATAAATTGTTCTTCCAAATGTATTTTTCAAAAATTTCCCTCAGTACTGACACAATTGATTCAGGAAGATGAAACTACCAGTGGTGGATCGCAGGACATGTCAGCTTTCGAAAAAGTGAAGGAAGATTCGATTCTAACGGAAAGTATGAAAGACGCGGCAAAACACAATTCATATTTGCAGCATTTCGATTTGATTGGTGGAAATGAAGAAGCAATAGTTATACAGAGTGCTCTGCAAAACGAAGACAATGATGAATTTGGTGATTTTGGAAATTTTGCTGAAACGGTGCATATTCATTTTTGTTTACAAAATTTTAATTTAAAGGAACGTTTTCCGATTCGTTCCGCCTTTCAAATTGGGAAACTTTCTAATTTAGTTCCTTAAAGCATAGCGAATAGTCTTTTTTGTAATTTGCTATGTCTTTGATTCATTCACTTCAGATGGAAACTCAGAAAAGCGAAAATGATAATTGGGCAGATTTCGGGTCCTCTTTATTTCTTGATCCTTATATGGAAAATAAGTCGACTGGAAGTGTTACATCTTCAGGAGCAAAGTTGCAGCTTACCACTGAGACTGCAAGTTTCTATAATTTAATTCAAATCATTCCTGATAATCGTACATTATTTGTTAGAGTTATCTTACAGGAAAGTTCAGATTTAACTCTTCGATATAGAGATGACCGAAATAATAATCATGGCAATTCATAGAATATAAGCCACAATCCATCATCAGCATTATCCTTCCTCTACGATAACATCGATGTCACTGAGTGTGTCAAATACCTCTATTCCTTACTCGTCTCTTCATATACGTAATCCATTTTTGTAATATATTTCATGACAATATATTGCAGAAAGAAACATAAAGAACATTGGTGTCTTAAAAAAAAAATGATTTATGGGATTACTACAGATCAAGGTAATGAATATTAGCGAATTTACACTTTGGAAACCGTAAATTGGATTACATTTTTCAGTCATTGTTGCCAACACTTCTTGAAAATTTATGCAATCATCAATTGTGGACAGCAGTTGCTGGGAAGGGGGAGAACAGTGACGAGTATGATATTTCTGATAGGGGAGTATACGAAACGTTAAGGGATGCAATAAATATGAAAGACAAAGAAAGGTGGAAGTTTTTTTCTCACATAGTTCATGATAAATTCAAAAAACTAATAACGATAGTTATTCAAGTTCTGCAAATACCTTTAAACTTAGTGCATGATTTCAGTAGAAAATTATTTGCAATTTTGTGACTATTCCACTTGATCTCAAGATGTTTTTTGTGATCAAGTAAGGTTATTAATCAGCTTACTAATTGACATAATTTAAAACAGTCTTTTCGATGTATGTTCAGTTATGATTTTTCTGATCTTGATTTAAGACTTGTTTAGGCCAGATGAAATGGTGTGGAAAGCAGTAAGCACTATTGAAGAAGCGCCAGCACTAAAACTGCAGTGGCATGATTCATTGATCCGGAGTTATTTTTTACATTCATTGAATGTTGATGTGAATCAAGTCCGTTTATTGTCATTTTTTATACAAAAAATCTTTATATTCAAAAATTATTCTAATATTACTTTTTTAATAAATCATATGATTACAATTTAAAAATAGAAATTGCAAAATGCCGCAATCACATAATTCTGGCGATAGTTTCATGTAATTTATCAGATTTTAAGCAGTTTTCTACCTCTCATTTTTTCAGACTGTTATTCGAAACTCAGATCTTCCTGTATTTGCACAGCAGCTTGAAGAAAGTACAGTTCTTGCACCTGTCTCTATGGTGAAGAGCTGCGGTGGGGCTGTAAATGAAAACAATCCGTAAGTTTTAAAAACTCAGTCCATAACGTTTCAAATTTATCTTTGTCTAGGAACACAGTTAGCATATTTTCAGATTGCCGCAGTCAAATTCGACTGAGTTCTTATCTCATGCAGATATCGGAAGGTAAGGGACAAGTGATGTTTGCTCATTGGATTGTAGATGTTTACAAATACGCTTTACATTTGCATGATAAAAATGCAGGACTTTCTCATTGTTTTTTCACTGCCCGTCTCTATGTTTCAGTAATACTTTTATAGTTGGTATTCTTTCCTAGTTTAACCTCGTAAAAAGTCAAAATAACGTTAAAAACAGAAATGCACAAATTTTGAATTTCGTCGTAATCCACCCTATCATCTCTGAATGTTTCCTTTGAAATTTTGGATTCAGATATTTCTGTGCGAGATAAAGTCAGACGCAGACTAAATCAGACATTTCAGTAAAGCTTGGAAGGTCTTATCTATCTCATTTTTCGCCGTTGAATAGTGAGAATGTTTTGATTATTAGTTCTTTCTAATCTTGTTTTTAATTTCGACATTTTACTATTTACAGGAGATGCAAACAAGTACTTGTTGATATAAATAGAAGTATAGATCTTGAAGAAGAATAGCAGCACCATTGATTGCATGATCCATACGTGACGTAATAGGAAAGGGTTCAGGTCGTACTTCTTGCAGGTCTTCAGTCAGCCAACAGGCACCTTCAAGATCCGTTACTATTGATTCATTGGCCGTTCCACCAGTGCAGTTTGACTGGAATAATTCCGGTCTAACAAATCCTCTCAAAACAGGTTGTATATTCTCTTTTCTCATTTCATCTTATAGATTATAAGTGAAGGAAGCAGTTATCAACTAACTTGCGGGGTTTTAAATGTTACTTTATTTCTACATTCCGTGTTGTTCTTAGTGTTTCGAGTGGTTTTCATATTTTTCTTTGACTTCACAATTCCTTCAGTGGTTTTTCGATGTCTTTATATACTCGTGCAAGTTTCCAGATTAAATTATCTTTAAGTGAAGGAAGCAGTCATCTACTGAATCTTTGTAATGAAATATGTATCCGGAATTTAGTTACAGTGTGATAACTTTAGCAAGATAGCTTCCCTTTAATTTTGAAGACTTCATATAGAAAAGAATAAATGATGAATTTTGTTGTTAAAAAAAATCGTTCATCTCTTCTGAAATTAGTGTATCTTCAATGAGGTGGCCTTCCTCAAAAACTGTTTTAAAATTTTTGCAGCATTAAATGTATCATCTGCATCATTAGACTTGGATTTTTTGGTATCCACAAACAGTAGTGGCTCAACTGCTGATGTTTCGCCTACTGTACAGGTGTCCTCAACGCTGCAGAAGGTTCTGTTCATTATTTTTCAAATTCTGCTGATTGGATAATAAACATTCGGTGAAAAATCTTGAATGCTTGAAATACAGATGATGAGTTCCCTTGAAATAGAGATTGAGGGTTTCAAGTACAGGTTCCAAGTACAGGAGTATAACTCCTGTATCACATTTGTCACTGTACATTGACGATGTAAATGGTGTTTTTTAACGGACTGCTCATGGTCATGTCGGCATCATATTTGCTTTTCGTAAAAGATCGACAGCAAGTACAAGCATGAAAAGCATTGAAATTAAAATTGATAATCATATGGTGAGTGAATTATGTTTGCACTGGATCTGTACATTCTTAAAATTATGGCTTGAAAAATAAATAAATTTACTAACTTCTTGTAGGATCTGACTGCGTTTGGTCTAAATTTGCCTGATGATGCTGGAAAGAGTAAAACGGAAAAAGGTATTTCAAGCAGTACACCGTAAGTGATTCCTTTGAATTAAGCAACAGAAATGGAATAATGTAATAACATTTCGACTGTTAGTGAATACGCTGAATACGCTTCCGGCTGTTAGTGAATAGTGAATTTTACAATCCTACAATGAAGTGCGCGCATTTCATTGTAGAACTGTAAAATTAGCAGCGTTACAATTTGAAATCTTTTAATTTTTCCGGTAATTGCTGTTTTTGCTAAGAAGAAACTTTAGATGACAGAAGTTAGTTTATTTCAGATAAGAATCTGTAAAAAATAATTTTCTGTCATTAAGATATTTTATGCTATTTTCATACGAATTACCAATCTTTATTTGTTCCAGAATTGTATTGGACTACATACTTCGTAAAAATGGTGATAAACGAAAATATAAGCCAGTAAGCGAACTTTCACTTGATGCTCGGGCTCTTCATGACCAGTTGCCGGACCTCGATTACATGTTATCCAATGTTCTGCTTTTTCCCGTCGTTGATCGCTAACTGGTGGATTTATCGTGCTCTCCATTAGATAATTGTCATATGGATAACTAAGTCTTCAGATTTTTTTATTCAGAGAATTTTCTTGGATGAACTGCCTAATTCAGGTCACTCACATCTCCTTTTTGTATTTTTATAAACAACTTTTTGTTTTTGTTATGGGCTTTCTTCTCCTGTAAATTTTTTAAAGACAGATCTGTTGCACGGGTGATTTATGCTTTGCTGTGCTTTTTCCAACTTCTTTGTCTAACAGATTTCATTTTTTTCAGCTCAATTTTCTAAAATTGTTAAACATCGATGTTTGTTCTTTATTGCAGTTCCTAAATCTTGTTCTCTTATTTGTACGTGTAACGAAATATGAAAGAGTCTATGCAACAAATTTGTATCATTTGATGAAAAGTAAAATTAAAAATTCTCATTTCTTGCTCATCAAATATTTTTTTCGAAAAATGCTGACGGGTGATGATTTTTGATGGGGTGAATGCACTGTTTATGTTTTATGATTTTGCACCACTGAGGGCCTGATTTTCTTTGGGCTCTTCGTACTGCTGTTTGGGATATTAATTTCGATGAGTAGTGAACTGTTCTACAGTAAATCAAGTTTCATTTAAATTTGTTTCTCATCACTTCTCATTTGATCATCCGATTCAGCGTTAGACTTAACCACACTGTCGGATGTTTTGTCACGATGAGTTTTGAAATGTTGAAATCCGGAACAGTCCGTTTAGATCGAGATTGATTACCATAGAATTGATAGTGTAGTCGTTTATTGATAAGCGATTCAACAGATAATATGAGAGTACTATGTTCGAGGTGTTACATCTAATGTTTCTCATTAGCAAAAGATCATCTCATGAGACGGATATGCAAGAAGTCTTTCGGAAACCTTCTAGCAATATAAGTTTGACTTGACAGGTAATTGACATTAACCTCGGAATTTGACATCGGAGGATTAGCTGGGTTTTCTACAAGTTTATTTAGATGTCTCCATTCAGCACTGTTTATTTCCTGTAGAATATTCAGCGTAACTAAAATAACAGATGAACAGCACTTTAACTAGCGCTGTCCATGAATAATGATCTATGTGCAGTAGTAATGAATGGTATCGTAGAAAGCAGGAAAGAAGGATTTCTCTGAAGATTGCTGGCGCCAGTATTTCCTATTCTCAGTGTCTGTCATTTGTTTTTATAACCAAATGAACAGTGACTCACTTCACGCTACTTCCGTTAATTTACTGGATTTTGTTTATTCCTCGAAAGAATCCATCGAAAAAAAAAAAAAACTGCATAGACTGGTTCATACTTCAATCTTACATGGAACTAATAACAGGATTGGACATATTCTGAAATGGATGAGATAACTATATAAAAACTTCACCGCACATATGTTGTGCATGTTATTTTTCTGGTACCATATACACCAATGATTTATAGCGTGTGAACTTGCTCCTCTCTTAACATCCATTCCGGCAATTTTTTAAATTTAAAGCAAATTATAGAAACACTTTTTTTGTTGAGAAAAAAGGCTGAAAATTCATTTGAAAGAGATTGTGCAATAATAAGAAAGCAGTAGCAAAAAAACTGCTCGAAATTAAAGTTATCATTTACAAATGTATTCATTTCAATACATATTTACTCTATCCAAAAAGGAAGTTATCACAAATTAATTTAAGTTAATTTTTTAGTTTATCTCAAGTTCCGAGTTTATTCTACTAATTGTTGTTCAAGATAGTTTATGTAATCCATTAATTAATCATTATTAATTGCTGGCTTAAGATGATTTATAAACACTCCGGTTCTTAAATATTTCCGTCCAAATATTTTTTGGAAACCCTGATGAATATCAGTGATGACATCAAATTGGAATTGATTCAGTGAATCCAACTTTATTTACTTTTTGCTAACTGCTGATAACGAAGTTTTAGAAATAAAGGCTCCCACAAAACCGTCGAAAAGTCCTATTTTGACGAGATCAGATCAGAGCATTCGAATCGTTAATAATAATAATGAAATGGATGGTTTGTATCTCAGCTCTTCAAAAGATTAACTCTGTAGTCAATCGAACCACATTTGACCATGTAGTAAAGGTATAAAATGAAGGTGGAAGCGTAATCTTCAAAGTAAGCAATAACGGGCTAGAGGATTAGAGTGGTTTGATCCATATCCGCACGTTTTGATCTATCGCTTAGCACTGGATTCAATTGATCAGGCCTTAATACCTTGATATAATATAACAGTAGTGGCCTTAATATAATGATATTATCAACAATTGATCGACTGAATGGCGACTTGACCCAATATTGGAGGGAGAGGAAGAATGGACGAACATCGTTGACTGATTGTCGGCGCCTTAAACCGATCATTCCGGGCATTCTCGTTGGCGCCTCTCAGGAGCCATTTCTAAAAAGATATCAGCTGTTTTCTGTACTCCTCCTCATCTCCTACAATTTCAAACAACTTTTTTTTCCCTTTCAGAATTTGTAACAAATTTGTTAGAAATGAGTAACTGTAGTTATATTCATAGCGTTTCATCAAACCTTGAAATGTGTCGAAGTTTGCTTTTTAAAAAATATTCCAAATTTGAAAACAAGAACAATAATGTTGCTTGTTTTCGTCCTTATTCTTTTTTTTTTGCACATTAATTGTTCAGTGCAAAAGGTGTCAGTTGAAGCACCAATACTCTTTTCATGTGCTGTTGAACACATTGCAGCACAATTTCTTTCTTTTTTTTTTGAACTTTTCGCAAAAAAATTTTAAATTAAGAAATTTTATGATAGCAGAATAGCTAGCATCAAAAACCAATCATTTCATCTTATAAAAATAATGATTTATCAAAACTAATCATTCAAGGTCTACTTTTATCAGTTTCATGTGAGCAGAACTTGCTTCCCCAAAGGATCAATACACACATCATTGATATAGGAATTTTATATGTCAAAATTCTGAAATAAATGAAAGAAAAAAAAAAAACCTTGAAATTTGAAGGGTTCCTACTTTACGTATCAAAAATTTTGGAACAAAACTATGAAGCATTTGCGCGAATGTAACTCTGAACACAGCACTCAGATGGACGAAACTACGAATGGATATTTAGATAATTGGAATAGAAGGCGATTTTTTTTCTCTTTTTTAAAATAAATAAAGTCAAAAAACGGATAAAGGACGAGGAAGGAGTTATGACATAAATTTTGGAGCGGAACGTAAAAATGTCCAACATGAAGAATATCTGATTATAAAGGAAAATATATTGTTTCAATGAATAATACAAATGCATGAGGGAATATTCTATTGCAAAACATAACATATATCATAAAAAAACAAAACAAAAACATGAGATCATTTGTATTTCATGAGGAAACTAAATTTCTTTTTGATAAATATAAGCAATTTCAAACAAAACATTTTCAAAGAATACATCTCTTTTTTTATTTTAAGTTTTCAATTTGATAGGAAAAGCTGGCCGAAAATTAATCCAGAATTAGGAAGGAATGTTCTTGCTGAGAACGAGAAACTATCGAGTCCTTACACTTTGAGATCTGCGCTGAAATTAAAGAATTGCGGTAAACACCACAATCTGAAGACTCGATAAATTTGATTCTCGAATATTAAAACCTCTGTTTGAATCTAGTAATTCGAAGTTCATCTGACTGTAACATTGGAATTCCATTCTAGCAAAAACAGATCTTTTACTATTTCGCAAAATGATAAGAGGTCTTCACCAGTTCATGATTTAATGAGTTAAAAGATCTATACGACAAAACCTTTATTAGTACTGAAGCATTAAAGACTTATTAGAATTCTATTTGCTTGGTTTTTTTCAGACTTTAATTTGGAAATTCTTCGTAATGAAATATTTCACAAAAAGAATAAATTTTGTCTTCAATCTCTATGTATGCAATTAGATTAAAATTAATAGTTATAGTTAAATGATAGAAATCCACTTTTTATATTCATAAAAATCTCTTTTACAATGCAGTACCATCCCTCACTTGCTACCTGTGTTATTCAAAGTTTGTTATAGAACTCTTTTGTCAATAAATAAATTTTTCCTTCGGAAAATTTTCAAGAACTTCATAATTTGGTCATTTACATCAAACCTCAAACTGGTCAAAAGAAAAGAAGGCATAAAAAATAAGCAATGGATAAAACCTGGTTTTCTGGTAATAAAACCTGACTGATTATAGACCATCCTCCTCGCTTTCTAAGTTAGTACCGCTCAGTGCAATACACTTACATTTTTTCACTTTGATCACTTTTCGTTTCAGTTCCTTTGGATTCTTTCTCGGACAATCCAGTTTCACCTATTTCACACGAAATCATTAAGATGTCTTAATTCATTTAAATTAGATCGCAAGCTAAGTTTTTTTGGAAAAAAAATAGTCTTTCTGCCTTGATTGCTTCCTACGACTGAATTTTTGAATTTGACTAACAAATTCTTTACAATATATTTATTTATGAAGCCTAAATTGCTTTGCGCTTCTAATCTTCGACTATTTCCATCCTGCATTTCTGATCTTCATTGCTAGACAAAACTTTATGGTATCTCCATAAAATGGCACGAAAATCTACCTCAACAGTATCCCATTCAGCTGGCCTGCACACCGAACAACTTTGGAACATGGCATCCAATTTCAATTTTCGCGGCCTTAAACGTGGTATGAAATAAGAAGAACAGGTTCCATGGCAAAATCTGTTGTGTACTACCTGTAATTTCCTGATCACTCATTTCGATCTACGAAATTGAATCATTTTGTCAATATAAAGCAATTTAATTTAGTCTTTCCCTGTTATCCCTTCACTGTAAATATTATCTAAATGCGATTTGCATTGAACTATTCGGTATCATTTGAAATCCAATTCTTCTGACTCTAAGACTTCTAAAGTCAACATTATCCAATTCTTCTGATTCTAGAACTTTCAAAGTCAATATTTGCACCATTATCACAGATGTTCATCCATTATTTTCGACCTCAGTTGCAGACTTAAAAATCACTATGATAACATTTCGACATTCCGAAAGAATCAGAGAATATTAATTGCGACAAATGAAACGAACTTTTGATAAGCAACCATCCATACGGATACGTTGTTTGAAAGTCTGACCATCGCAATGTGCTGCAGGCCTTGAATCATCTAGTCTTCCTAAGCTGACTTCTTGATTCACTTGATGCAATGCTTCTTTTGGTGAAGAAATCACTTTCTTCCCTACATCAACAATAATGAACGGAAAATGTTTCAAAATGAATGAAAAGTTTAATTTCGAATTAAAATGAACTCCAGAAAGTTTGCTCATTGCATTAACATTTCATTTCTAGAAATATAAGCTTTTACCCTTTTTCTCGGATTTTACTTGCTTTCGCATATATCGCTGCAGCCACTTTAAGCGTTTCTGATCAAAAGTTAATAGTGGCGGTTCAATGTACGGTTCTGAATGCAATGAAATGAATGCCTTTTTTGCTATTTCATCAAAAACAGATCCATTTTCTACTTTGTACTGAATATACCTGTAAATTAGTTTTCATTGTGTAAATGCAAGATAAATTTCAGAGCAATATGATTTGTTTTATAGATATCCTCATCTCTGATGGCGACTCTCTCTTATTAATATACGATAGGTATGGGCGCAAGAAGTGCTTATTTTTGCGCTGCAAATATGCCATCGTCTAATAGTAATGCAACCCATACGAAAAGTATGTGCCTAGAAAACTTCTGGCTACGTAAGACGAGCAAAATTTTCATCTGACTATGCCATTTCGTCAAATAAGACCAGAAAAGGGGACAGTAATAATAAGATCTTGAGATGCAGCAAATTACATTTAATAAAATGAACCACAATAGTCAGTTATCTCAATTCCATTGTAGAGATCTCGAATAGAATAGGAAAAGAATTTTGAGCAGAAAAAAAAATGAGAAGACAAGCAATGGCGGACAGTAGGAATGTTTGTGGTACTGAAAGATATTTTATTTACGATAAAACGCATTATTAGAAATAAAAAAAAGAAGAAACTATGAAAGGTATGCATGCGGAAGGTAAAGGCTGATATTGTTTGCGCTTTTTGCTTACTATGAAGATTAGACAATTTCTTGGAAGGTCCTTGAAAGATAAGTTTAAGGCAGTACCAATGTAAAGCATGCCTTACTGATGTTTAAAAAGTTGAAAAATTAGAGTACTTTTATCAAAAACATAAATGCTTAAATTAAAAAAAAATTCGAATTTAATTTCAAAGTAAACTTGGTTTGTACTCCTTTCCATTTTCCCATTTAAGGCACCAAACATCTCTTTTTTCTCACTAATTCCCGGAAGTTACAGCGATTAACAAAACAAAAACAGGTCCAAAAGTATTTTTAAACATCTCAAACCTTTGATTGCTCATTTTTTATTTCGCTTTATGAAATTCATAAAAAACGAAGTGCTACCTCAGATTACATGTGTGGATTGATAGTAGTGACTGGTTGGTTTTAATCAACCAATCACTTATGAAATGGATGACCACTGCTGCATTCACAAATGAGCAACAGTCACGAAAAATCATTCCATCATTTTTAGCAAATCTGTTTGTGACCGATTATTATCGTTTAGTAATGCAAATTTTCTTAAACATTCAATCGTGAATTAGAATAAATTGGCCAGCAAGTCAAATAGAAGGGAACAAAGTATCGCAATGAAAATGATCGAAGGAAATGGGCGGTGGTGTACATCAATATTTTAGAGCAGAAAAAGATTCTTGATGTTATGCAAATTTTCATCCAATTAATGAAATTTTTCATAAAAGCATCAAGAATCTTTGAAATATAAAGAAAGCTCTTCAGACGGATATGAAGTTACGAAGCGCTCAGTTCAAGCGGAATTTGGTAGAATATATGGTTAGAAATGTCAAAAAAGAAAACTGAAATGGATTATTCGAATAACCTTTGAGGTGTGGAACTTAACTAGTGGATTAGCTGAAAAGTTTTATATCACAGGTCATAAATCTCTTGCATAAGGCATACGATAGGTTTTGAGGACATCCTTCTGATGCAGATCTCCACAGCACTATGAGATACTCTCATTGAAAATACAGTAATCATAATGGTGAAGCGATGGCGCACTGATCGTGGGCGCATTTAGGATTACTACTTGATGACGATCAAAAAGATGTCATGGGTGAGATATGGTAAAACTAGGCATGTTTACATTTAAGAATCAGAAGATATGGGTGGACCAATTCAGCTAATTTTAGTTTTCATGAATAATTTCGAGTAAAACGTGCGGTTCGGAAGACGATATCCTTCACTCCTCCATTAACTTTCTTTTCTCTTTTTGGCAAAAATACTATCCTTGAAAAAGAAACCACCAAATTTTGGTTAATTCCAATCAAAAATTTGTAATAATTTGTGCAAAAAAAGGTACATTTATCTGAAAAAATTACAAAATGTTCAGGTTTCAGACAAAGTGATACCCAAAATTAGACTGTGGAAACTATTTAAACTGTTATTTGATTAGATTGTTCTTTGATCTTTCAAATCTACAATATGTCATATATATCATATGTCACAATATGTCATATGTCATCTGATGACTAAAAATTCTTTGAAAAATGGTGGTGAAATTAGTAAGAGCTATTAGAAATCGTCCCAGTACATTTTTTAGATGTGTAGCGTAAATTCAACAATTTGTAAGCAAAGTCCAAACTTCAAACTTCCTTTAGAATTCGTTTCTTATCAATCATATTGAGAGAGGACTGTTATTCACATACCAAAAAATTGATAACTTGATGGTCCATCACAACTTCAAACTTCAATGATGCATGCGAATGCTATGCACTACACTTCAAATGCAAGGATAAAGAGGCGCGCAAATTCTATGCATGTAAAGGTGGGAGGATATAATTCGACTTGAAAGACATTAATTAAATTAGTATAAACGCTTTAACTTGAAAATTTTCTGAAAAAGCCATCAAATTATGCTAAAAACGAGACAAGAAGCTGCTCTGCTTTTTCCTCTCTTTAGCATATCTTTGTTAAATTATCGCGTAGTTGAAATACGACAATGCTGATAGTTACAAGAAACTTTTGTTATCCAATTTTACGAATTTTTCCTATTCCATTCTAATTAATTTGCATAGTGGAAAAATAATTGCTTGTGGTTGGGGCTTTAAAGTGACATAATGCGAAGTTAGGATATTCCTTAAATAGGTTACTTCTACGTAGGAAAAAAATTTCACTCTCAGGATAACTGTTAGCAATTAGAAAATGGGATCAGCTGCACATATAAGGACTTTTGAGGATGACATGTTACAAAGTTCTCTAGTACTGAGAATTTGCTAACCCGGCGGAAGAGGTGGCTGGTGATTGTTCAACGACACCAATGTTGACGATCGGCGCACTGTCAGCAGGCAGTAGTAAATAGTTGCAAGGTGTCAGTATCATCATAAATTTCAGTAAGAGTGCAATAATAGTACAACTGGGCCTATCTGTAAAGACCCTATCGGTAATACCAATTCGCATATCAATTCAGCAACCGACACCTTTTTCGCCTGATACCACTACGTTTGTTGTTAGCAGTGTCGGAATTGACTTTTTGTGGCAACAAATTCGAGTGCGTTAAAATGAATGAAACGGAGAATGTTTGAGCAACAAAGTTGCTGCTTCTTTCTGTGTACGACGTCAGATTGAATGGCTGTAAAAAAAGTTTGTACTAAATTTAACTATTCATATTTGTGGCTTCTTTTGGACACCAAATGTAATGATATACTGCTCAGTTCATTCAAAACAGTGAAAATGAAATATAAAACCGAAATGTTATCGTAATTGCAAACGAAATGTTAATTAGAGAAAGTCTAACGGTGTGACTTTCCCCCATATTATGCTTCGAACCTGCCTCATATGTATTTGGAATTCCGGAAGTATAAAACCGTCTGAAGAATTTACAAGAAACAAAGCAATAGTTGATAGCTGTAATATTATTACTTTTCTATACATTACTAACTGTAATAAGGAAAAACCAACTGAGAAACCATTTCGTTAAATTTGAAAAACCTAAAAGATATTTAAATATTCCGTTGACTCATGAGGAGTTCAGAGATTTAGAATGATCCAGTACTGACAATGTCAGTTGAATGGTCTACGGAGGGTAAGAAAGGAGCCGATGATTAGAGTCGGGCGTGGTTACAACACTAATCACTCCTCCATTTTCTTAGTCATCTCACTGCATTGATTGTTTGCTGTTTGGCAAAAACAATATAGAACTTGATGCTGATAAAATGTTATTCTCATTTACTTTATTCAAGTTCAGATAAACAAATCTCAATTTCAAAATAAATTTCTAACAAACTTTTCGAATCAATTCATAGTTTTTTTCATCAAATGGTGCATAGGTGACAAAGCTTAACATGATCCAACGTCCTTATTCTTCCAAAAGCTATCGAGAGGTTACAGCATATACCAGTGAAATGTATCCCGGGTTGAGATAATCAGATTCTTCTATGTCAGCATACCGCTACACTTATAATACGTCTTTAGGCATTGACTGGATTAAGTTAATCACAATATATCACTCTTACGATAGTCATATGCATGTTTTGTTATGATAAATACGTGGATAGGTCTATAGAAAAAACAAAAACGATTAATATGAGTACTACTGAAAAGGTGTAGTAAACGAAAGAAGGAGTACGGTCAACAGAGATATGTGTTAGGGGTGAAGGGGAGGGAGGGGCGGGAGGAGTAGTGTGAAGATAAAAAGCTTGGAAGGGAAGGGAAGCTAATGAAGTCTAGGCTGGTCGATAACAGAGTAATGAGAAGGAAGAGCACGTGGTGAAGCTGCAGATTTGGAAACTGATGGGTTGTTAGCCGATCATTAGACACATGTTACCATTCCAGAATAGTTTTACGAAGCAGGAAAGATGGACGTTTGTTCCTGA